AGCTGTACTACCTACATCACAGGGCCAAACAGAATACAGCTGTACTACCTACATCACAGGGCCAAACACAATACAGCTGTACTACCTACATCACAGGCTCAAACACAATACAGCTGTACTACCTACATCACCGGCCCAAAGAGGATACAGCTGTACTACCTGCATCACCGGTCCAAACACAATACAGCTGTACTACCTACATCACATGGGCAAATTCCCTTATATTCATTATTCCTGAACATAAAAGGTGCTGATAACAAATTACATCAAAAGACTCATTAACATATATCGATCGTCTACCTTTTTATATCAGATCAGAATGCCGACTTTTAATACAATAATGAATAATAATGAATTAATTTAATCTAATTTTAGCCAACTTTGACATAAGATGTGTGGAAACTCTATGATTCATCCATCATTGGCAGATTTAAAAGCTTTTCCCACAATAACAGTATAGGAGGAGTGTGGATTTGATCTCTCATTACAGTAAGCCCCATTTAACACACTCTTCATTACCTACCCACAACCCACCACTAAAAAATGCAGAAGGCAACAACGATCCCAGGAATCAGAAGCCGATTCAATCGGTAACCAAGACTGCAAGTCTACAGGTTGTGGAAAGGACAGAGAATGATGAAGAGTGACTTTCAAGAATTTAATCTGCTGCTCTGCTTTTCCTTCACTGATGTAAAAAAAAGGGAGACCTACACAGTGAGGTTCAAAATGGCCGCTAGCACAGTATATAATCTGGCTAAGCAGCTAGCATCATATGTGAGGGGGTAGCTGCAGAATTCTAGGTCTTTGCATCTCGTGTACCCACTGAGTTCTAAATTTCCACTGATTTTCCAGTGAGGCAAGATGTCTAGGTAACACAAAATATGCTTGATGACATCATGTACTTGTTATATGCTGATTAGCTGATGAAAATACGAAAAGTTAATCACTTTGTGTTATTCTGCTTTCTTTGTACAATGCTATGAAACAATGCCAAAAAAGAACATTGCAAGAACCTGTCAAAGTGTCCCACAAAGTGTTCACTAGACAGCACTGGAGCCACACATAGAAACAAGACTCCAGGTGTGAGGAGAATCGCAAAGTCTGAGTCTCCAAGGGACAAATTTGCGTTGCGCGTTGATACAGAGGGTTCAGTTATACATATGTCACATGTGCACTGCCCATGTTACACAGACCCTGACTCGGGAGCCACACGCAGCAGGCCGCGTGAGTGACACACACTTTAGAAGCCATCCAATCAGAAGGCGGCTCTTTCCCCTGATCACCCTCCATTGGCCTGACAAGGCGCAGTCTCCTGAGGATGTACTGTTCCAGAGCCACTGCAGCCACTGTTTTCCTGCTGCATTAAGATACTGCCACAAGGAGAGGGGGGCAGGGGGGAAGCAATTTAAGACATGCATTTAGAATCACCTCAATATCCCATCCTTTGCACTGAGCCGATCCCAGCTTCACAAAGGCTGATGGAGATCTTTAAGACAACGCTGCAGAACTAGGTGAAGGTCAAAAGGCACATAAACCGAGAGACTACTGTAGCCCAGAAGCCAACGTATCAGAGAAAACAAAATGTCAATCTGATATCCACTAATCATATTTTCTTAAGATCATTCACTCGCTTACAGACAATCCCCTGTTATCAGAAGGCCTCTTATTGGGCAAAGAAACTTGTATGCTTGTCACCTGACACTGTGTACTTCTAGGTACCAGAAAATAAATTCAATGAACCAGTGTTTTGTCCACAGTGATCTGATTTTACCAAGCTGGATTAAGAGCTCTCTGACATTCCTTTACAATCGCAGCAAAGGATGGTCTAAAAAATCAACGACTCAGGATTATGCCTTGACACCCACAGAGACAAACAACATATAAACATAAATAAACCGTGCTCTTAATAGAATAATTGGGATAGCCCCTTTGCCAGCAACCCCCCCCCCCCCCCCCCCCCCCCCCCCCCCCCCCCCCCCCCACCCCACCCTTCACTTCCGTCTTCACTGCAGGGGCAGTTTCATTTTTACTGCTCCTGTTGGGTGGGGCACTAACTGTCAAGAGGAAGACTGAAGTGGCTGGCATGTGGAGACACAGTTGAGGAGGAACTCACTTGCTTATCTGCATAGAATGGGTCAATGTCCTCCAGTGGCACTGTCACCATACCCGGAGGAATGTCCCCGTAGATATAGGGCACGCTACGGCCAGCCTCCAGGTCGGTGTTGGGACGGTCTTTGTTGTCATCATCGTCGTCGCGATGACTGCTATCAGACTTTGGCGGCTTCTTCTTCTTCTGTTCATTGATGCGCTTCTCGATATTGGCCAAAGTTTCTGGGGTGAACCTCTTGAAGCTCTCAGGTCCTGGCGGTGCGAAAATGGGTGCAGCCATGTTTTCATCCTGCAGCAACTTCTTCTTTAGTTATGTACCATCCAGGGCAGCCAGCTCTAGGAGGAGAAGCAGAGAGCAGCAGCAGCTCCGTCAATTTCATGTCAAACTGGAAGCTATTAAGAAAGGTATACAACAACAGCAAAAACCACAATGATCCATTTTCCTTTACAGAATCTGGAACAGAGTGAGCCTGGAGCCTATTTGAGGAAGTACAGGGCAAAATGAAGGGGACACACTGAACACAGAGTAAAAATCCAGACCAAGATTTTGTTTCAACCATCCACTTGAGTAGTCTTGTAACTGTGACTCTTTATGCTCAACTGGTTGGTTGAAACAAAATCTTGGTCTGGATTTTTACTTTCTGGTCCTGAATTATCCACCCCCACACCCCCAATAAAAGTATTATTATCATTAATAATAATAATAATAATAATAATAATAATAATAGACTCATTAAAGGTGGAAAAACACAAAAAACGTAATTATGTCATAACTTAATAAGAACAGGCTGACTGTGTTTACTAATAGAAAATCTACCATGCAGAAATCAAAGAAACAAACATCCTAAATAAAAAAATGGATGCTTTCTCCTTATGACAGATCACCCATGTGTTTTACATCATCGTCCTTAGAGAGTAGACTGTACTGTGGTGTGGGCTTTTTCTTCAAGATCATCATTTTCAGAGAATGACCTTCTGCTGAACGGTATGTTCTTCTTCCAGCTCTGTTTCTTTGGCCCTATGACTTCTTGTGTGATTAAAGCATTGTCCACCTCCAGTAGTGATGGAATAATGGAACCAGCACAAGTCTCTGGTATAAGTTTAGCAACCAAATGGAGCTACACACATACATTCAATTTATATATTCCAGTCATAATTTGAGCATAACCCTAATTCTAACTATGATAACCCTTTCCCCTACCCAGCCCTATCCTTAACCATAAATAACCAAACAAAATAGAAATTGTTTTTTGATTACATTCACAAATTTGTATGAAATTGAGGTTTATATTGTGGGCACCTGAAACATGTCCCCTAAGCTAAAAAGTAACAGGTTTTGCCACCCCCACACATTTTATCCCCACAATTTATTAAATACAACCGCCCCCCACCCACTAAACAGACATGCACACCAACAAACAATGAATGCAGATAAACTGTCACTTGTCTGCTACTATTACTGCCACTTAAAATGCTATTATCAATAAAACAAAAACAAATAAATAATGCATAATCATTAATAATGACACAAGCTGCAAACAAATGTAACTTTTTGCAATGTATATACAGAAGCTCCTCTACTTACAAACTTTCAGACATACGAACGAAGAGGACTGTAAGTCCAAATTGTGTTCATTGGGCTCCCGTTGCAATATTGCAATATTGCCGTCTGCAATATCAATTTTTTTTTTCTGCGCGCCATTTCCACCTAGTACGAATTCTGGCCGCTACTCCCACCGCGCAGCAGCGTAGCGTGCGTACTCTCAGCATCCTAGATCTTTGTACTTGCGTATACCCTTAAAATGATGTTGAATAACGACTTAGGAACATTTCAAAGTACGAACAGCCGATCGGAACGTATCTCGTTCTTGAGTAGAGGAGCGTCTGTAATGACACAAAGATGACCATTCTAAGGACTGTACGCAGTAATGCATTGCAGGAGCCTTCCATGGAAAATAAAAGTGGATAAACGGATGAACGTTCAGTAAACGCCACACACTAATTAAGTAATTAACAGCCACTCAAATTGACTTCCAGCGTAATATCTCATACCTGAAGTACGTAATCCATTGAAGAGGCAAAATTATACATTTTCATATTCATTTCAATCAATAATACTATCCATTCACTGTAGCAATGGTCCGATTTAAAATTACAAAGTGACTGTTGACCAGAGTGTTCTGGGACATGCTATTCACCTGAAAATAATGCTATGTTCAAGAGGAATTCTTTGTTGTATTTGTGTCGTTTACATTTAATGTGTTTAAAATGGACATTATAGATAACAGAAAAAATAACGTTCATAATCTACGGAACATAATACCATTAAAAGATTCAGAGAATCCGGAGAAATTGGTTGAAAACCAGTATTGGAGAGCCACAATCTTCAGGTCCTCAGGCAGCGCTGCATTAAAAACAGACACGATTCCATTGTGGAAATCAGTGTAAGGGCTCAGAAGCACAAACCATCATCTGTGAACACAGTTCATCACTTCATCCATAAATGCAGGATGAAGCTCTACCGTGCAAAGAAGAAACCATGATCCAGAAATGCCGCTGACTTTTCTGGGCCCTAAGTCATTTAAAAAGGACTGAGGCAAATTGGAAAACTGTCCTGAGGGCTGACGAATCAAAATTTTAAATTCTTTTTGGAAATCATGGCTGCTGCATCCTCCAGGCTAAAGAGGAGAGGGATGATCCAGCTTGTTATCAGCAGACAGTTCATAGGCCAGCGTCCGTGATGGTATGGGGGTGCATTAGTGCCCATGGCTTGGGTAGCTTGCACGTCTTGGAAGGCACGATTAATGCTGAACGATATATTCAGGTTGTGGAGCAATATATGCTGCCAGCCAGACGTCTTTTTGAGAGAAGGCCTTGTCAGTTTCAGCAAGACAATGTGAAACTGCATTCTGTGCATAATACTACAAAATAGCTCCGTAGTAGAAAAGTCTGGGTGCTAGACTAGCCGGCCTGCAGTCCAGATCTGTGACCCATTGAAAACATTTGATGCATCATGAAACAAAAAATAAGACAATGGAGACCCTGAACTGTTGAGCAGTTGAAATCTGTATCAGGCAAGAATGCAACAACATTTCACTTTCGAAACTCCAGCAACTGGTCTCCTCAGTTCCCAAATGTTTATAGTGCTGTTAAAAGAAGAGGCGATGCAACACAGTCCCAAACACGCCCTTATTCCAACTTTTTTGAAACATGTTGCTGGCATCAAATTCAAATTGAGCATATATTTGACATAATACAATAAAATTTCACAGTTTCCACATTTGATATATTGTCTTTGTTCTATTTTCAATTAAATATTGGTTTATATTATTTATAAATCATAGTATTGTTTTAATTTACTTTTTTTGGAAACTGGGTTGTATAATAGGCCTAATAAATACATATAAACCCAAACATATCTGCTTATTTATAAAATCCATTAGTATAAATTGCCTCCTCAAAAATGATAGGCCAATGTAAAACGTAAACAATACATTTAACTATATTACAGCCTATGCCAAAACTTCAAAAAAGTTGAGTGTATTTTATAATTTATTATTAAAATTAGCTTTTAAAATGTAAAAATCAGTTCATATTTTGTCCGGTTTCATATCTGTAATAATTATATTTCCAAGAGATTTACTCAAAATCTGGGTTCCCTCGGAGGCACTTTTCACACATCTCCTGGGTGCCTGGCAGAGAGGTACAGGGTAATCCAGGGTAATCCAGGGTAATCCAGTCCTACATCCAGCTCCTGAAGGCCAAAAAGACTCCATGAGCCCAAAGACACAGCCAGGAGGGACTGTGTCCTGTTTTGCACACCCCAGTGAAGAGTTCGCCCTTTTCCATCTGGTGCACTAATGCATTCCCAGTTGGGCATTCTGGAAAAGGCTCCACATGAGGTCTCACGAATGTTCGATTCTTGCACCTCCCTCTAAACTCCGGGCGTCTTGTGTAACATGACCCTATTCTCTCAGTAATCACAGCCCCAGGTAAACACAGGAACCATATCCATATACAAATCACACGAGTCCCCCCCCCCCCCCAGCCCGCATTGGAGAAAATTCCAGCATTGCCGTCAAAGCATAGTTGCGTGTTCCAGCAAAACATCTGAAGAAGGGCCAGGGAAAAAGAAAATAAACACCGTCAATGAGTCTCTGACAGGAGAAACAAATGCTCTCTGTAGCAACGATGCAGCAAGGTAATATTCTTAAAAGGACTTCTATTTTAAAAAGTACTGTAGTCAACATCCCTGGTCAGCTGACGTCTCCTGTGTTCCGTCCTCTTTGTGTGTCTTTCAAACGTCATGATTGACACACTAGGCTAACCCTCTAATTCACCGTGGGGTAGAGTTCAGAAACATGCAAGGTCAGGCTATAAAATAAATTATTATTATTATTATTATTATTATTATTATTATTATTTTCTGCCAAAAAAGCATTTCTGTGCATAGTCACCAAAAACATCTGATGTCCCATAAAGAAATCTTGTCATACCTTGGTAACTGTATTACTTAATTATATTACACATCGCAAATAAATACAAAACAAACAAACAAACAAATAAATAAAGGCTATTTAAAAGCACATATCGGTCTCTGTTTAGAAAAATTGCCATTTCTATTTGAAGAAGAAAACTTGTACATACTGTATTTCCATTGTTTTGTTATTCATTTCATATGGCATTATACATGTAACAAATTCAACTTATCCGAACTTTCTAAACAATCCGTAGTCTGTGCAATGCTGTAGAGTGTGATATAGCCTATAGGTAAAAAGCCAATAAATGTAACGAGTGAAATATTAAGTTAAAAAGCAATAAAATTGCTATTAGTACAGTCTAATATTTCGTACAATACATACTTCGATAAGTTGTGCTAAGTGATCACTCCTCACGCAGTAGGCCTATATAATCCCCGATAAGGGACCCTACGCCACTTAATATAATAAAGGGTCGTTTTCCTGCAATGATGTAGGCATAAGTACACTGCAGCCAACTTTAAGTGCAGACTTAAGATCTTTCTAAAATGATTACTTTTAAAACAATCAGTAGCCGGAAAAAACAGCGCATATCCAATCCATATATTAACGACTTCCGGCGTCCCGTTACATACCGACGTCACACTCTGTTTCATACTTGTACAGTACGTGCTGCTTCCATGATTACCCCATGACCCCCTCCCCCGCCCCAAGCCAAAATTCTCGCCATCACCAAACACTTATCAATTTGCCTTTAGTCATTTATTTTTCCTGCACCAAACTGCAAATACTCCACTGCACAACAACGTGCCACTGCACATAGTACATGAGAAGTATTGGGATACCTTTCAAGTGGCGTCTCTGTCCTATATGCAGATGAGTCCGAAATAATAAAATTGGACAACTGTAAAATATTCTCTTCGCCGCCACTAACAGCGCTCAGCATCCTTTTTGTGTTTAATGTACCCCCCTTCCGCGATTGTGCGCCTCTAAGGATCCATAATCTATTGATTCGGAGTTTATTCCCTTATTTCAAGCGCTAATTCAGCGATGTCAGCAAGAAGAAGCAGCGTCGATACCATACAGCTGCTGATCACACAGACATCCCCCTGCGTCCTAACGCTCGATCCCACCCCCCAAAAAAAAAATAAAAATAAATAATAATAATTTTACAGAAAACTATTCCGTAAGAACAAGATCAGTCATTTTTAAGTCCTAACCCGAAAACATGACAGGGCAAAATATAAGTGTCGGTGTAGCTGAGGTTTGTTCAAGGTGAATCATAAGCACGGAAAGCAACGTGCTGCCTCTCCTGCAACACCAGCACTCACCACTATCACGATGCCTAATTTTGCAGCATTTAAAAAGCTACTCGTGACGAAACTAAAGCATGCACTTTTAAAGCAAAATTTGGATTTTATTTTTATTTCTTTATTAAACCATCATATTAGTTTTAAACCTTACTGAGCTTTCGGAAGTACGCGCAGACGAGGAGTGAATACTTACTTTTAGCTCAAAAGTAGATAAATGCACTGCAGCTCAAGTCCATCTCCAGAGCACATTTTCCAAGACAGTAACAGTGGCAATCCGGTGGCCGTCGCCGAAGTCAGTCTCGGTGCCAGCTTAATCCAGAGGGACCCGGCCTGTTAGTGGCTGGGAAGCCGTAGCTCGCCGCGGTGTCAAACGGACGCTGTCCATTTCAGGACCACTCCGAAGTACGGATGACCAAAGAGCGCATTAAGGCTCCCGTTATGCAAAATCGGGGGAGATAACCGAGTACGAAAGAGAATTACGGCGCAGGGCGGTATAGACAGAGGTGCGGCGACCGATAGCGGAATCAGAAGCCAAGTAACTGACCACTCTAGCACGGAGGTGACACCATCCTGATGGACGTGGGGCACGACGCGCCGGGCCAGCGACACGCACATATACCGCCTGCCCAGAAGGACACTGGAGGCATTTGCTATCCCGTTTGTCTTACAACAAAAAAGATCACATTACTGATCGCTATAACCATAGGCGCAATCAGATTCCAATAAAGTACATGAAGACTTTCTTCCAAAACGAATGTAAAGCAGTCAGATTAAGATATTACAAACTGACGACCTAATTCTCTAAAGATGTTGCGTCAGAATTTTAACTTGACACCCGGAAATTTGTGGTGTTTGTGTATAATACATGAGTGTGGGCACAGCTTATATAACAACCACACAGGTTATATGAACACATAACGCTGTTAACTTAAAACAAACAGTCACATCACAGCAGACAGCTTTCCAAAATGAAAGAAATGCCTTACAAAAGTAATGTTAATAGCCGCAAGTAGTATGACTTCTGTGAGTTCACAGAGACTATAAATGCGGTAATAGTAATAATAATAATAATAATAACAAAATGTCACTGGTTGTTATTACTCTGCATTAAGACAGCTATCGATTACTCTATACTTCACGTCTAAAGCAAAGAATGGCCTTTTTAATTAACGGAAAAAAAACACATAATCCAGTACCAGCTCCTTACATTTATCTCTCTGGCAGTTACAGAGAACATCATATTACATTGATATTATTTTAAAACAATCCACAAAAGGACATCATATTCGCTAATTACTGTGCATTTAAAGTTCTCATTGGAAATTGAATATTTTTTTCCTTCATTTCACATTAGACGCTCCTGGCCGGTATGCGCGAAGATTGCATGTAAACGTCTTCTCCACCGTGCGGGCCACAGGCTCTAAAAATACTGCAGTGGGGGGATTCTGCATGCCGGAGATTACACGTCCAACTTAAAGCATATGTCGAAAAAGCACAATTAAATGCGATATGCGTCATGAATAAACACACTGCGCAAAAAGGAAACGCCAATTTCTACGATTCAGACCAACTGGCACATTTTTCAAACCTAAATTTTATTGAAGAGCTCGTACCACACCCGTAAAGTGTACCTACTTTTTTCATAACATTATACCCAATAAGCTTGATAACTGTATAGAGACTTTTTAAAAAGATGACCGTTCATATGAGATTGGCAATGGATCCGTTTTGCACCAAATAGCGCTTTCTTGCAATACAGCCTTAATAAGTATAGCGAGGTAATGACTGGGCAGACTGGGGAGACTGGGGGGTGGGGGGGGGGCGCACTGGGAAACAGTTACCACGTTATAGGTGTTTATGATACTACATTCCGCGATTCTGAGACAATAAACATCAGGGGAAAAGATGAAATAATTTGTATTGCCACATTCAACCCTTTCTCTCTGTTTTTACAATCCACCAAAGTTTGACATTCGTACCTCGCTATCCCAAGGTATGCGTATATTTCACATCGCTACACATCAAAATGTCATGCAGCGCACTGTAAGGCCAACACCCAAAGGTACCCAATTTAAATACTTTTGCCCGACTGCCCCAATCTATTTGCCCATGTGGATTCTGTCAAATACATTGCAAAAGTCTGTTCCAGCGTGTTATACTGTAACGCATCTCTATTGGAGGCTGGCAATCAGCCGACTCACAAATGCAGGTAAAAGATGCTGGATAGAGCGCTGCTCTGCGGCATTAGGGTTTGTGCAGTAGACAGCAGAGAAACGACACCTATTCGTTAAAAATCCCCAGCCGAATGACAAAGGAGAAGATATACTTACTTTTTTCAACATTAAAAGAAATCCAGAAAGGCGTCGCTGAACTGCGGATGTCCGAAAGGTTCAGGAGAAACTGCGGTTGTCGCCATATTGTTGCCGCTATCTCCCTTCCCGAAGCGTGCAGTTACCCTGCATAATTGATGACTCTCAGCAAAATGTTAGGGACCATCGTCAAATGCTTTTTCGAAGCAGAAAGGGATCGTCGGCTTATCGACGAGACGAGCAGAAATTATTCAGAAAGAAACAATGCAATATATATGTGTATATATATATATATGTATATATATATTTATATACATGTGTATATATATAATGCATCCGGTTTGGAGGAAAATATTTACGTAAACCGATACGTGTAAGTAAAATAGGCCTAATTCAATCCGGTTGCATGCGCATGTATTTTTTAAACTTTAATTTATAGTCAAGATACCGAGTAGTTTTTAGCAAACTGTTGAAGGATCCAAAACACCAAGAATTCTGCGAGGTCTACGGCAGATGACGGCCATTTACCCCATCAGTATCTGATCCGTCTTATGTTACAAGGTATTCCAGTATTATAACTTCGACACAGACGTCGTCCCCAGTATGCCAATCCGATGGGGACAACATCAGGAATGAAGATGATGCGGTGCAAAGATTATTAATATGCACATAAAGAAACAGGGTGCGTCCCACAGAGGAGTGTGAAATTGTGTGACTGGCCCAAAATTGCCAAAAATACTATTAGCTTTTGAGAGATAATTAATAATTGTTAACTTGTAGGACCTACCAGAAATAAAATCTACATCTTAACAGTTAACAGGCAAAAGTAATTTAGTGCTAACTAAAGATCTGAATGCTAAATATATGACATTGAGTGACCCACAGAGAGAATCCACATAGAATCAGTATTAGTGACTAGCAGAACAGAGAAAAAACAGATTAGAGCTAACACTTATGACATTCATGACATTTAACTCCAGGATTCATCTGAAACAGTCTAAATGTTAAAATAACACATATACAATATGGTCTTCTTTTTTTTTTTTATACAGTGCTCACAGAAAGTCTTGAGACGTTGCTTCATTGTTGCAAATGTTTTGCCTTATTGTTTAGTATCCCTTTGAGGGGCAATTACTACAATTACAATTAATAGTAAAATGGCAACAACAGAACTGAATGAGTCCATCAGAAAATTGTGACACTTGATAAAAAGAAAATGCCTGTGCAGAAGATATACGCAGATGTGTTAAACCAGGGGTCTCCTACTCCGGTCTTGGAGAGCTACTAACCAGTAGGTTTTCTATCCTACCTGGCTTCTGATGAGCCACACCTGTTCTCAGGTAAATACCAGGAACAGGTGTGGCTCATCAGAAGCCAGGTAGGATAGAAAACCTACTGGATAGTAGCTCTCCAGGACCGGAGTTGGAGACCCCTGTGTTAAACATTTTCATCAGTTTTACAGAATTAAGGAAGCGTCCCACGGCTTTCTGTGCTCACTGCATTTATGGGAAATGTTGTAATATGTATACGCACACACATCTATGAAACATTTTAGAAATAATAAAGCAGTTGACTAAGAGCAATGGTGACGTAGCAATGAATGTTTGCTGCCCGGTCAGAATCATACTGTTTTAACTACAATCAGATCAGGCAGCCAAATTCATCCCATTCACACACCATAATAAAAGGAAACCAGGACCAAAAGGTTGGTCAGTGAACCACAAAAACAGTGAACGTTTCAACCATTTTAAAAACGAATGAACAACAAAGATTTCAGATGAAGGTTAACCACATCTTACTTTGGACAGCTGATCCAAGAACTGAAATTTCCCAATTTGTTAATATGCTATACTTTCTTAAAGACATGTAAATTAGGTTCATTAATGAATCAAAATTAGTAGGAGTAAATATTTGTGCAGCAGAAATGCACACTGCTTTATCAGAGCAAAACATTACCAAATTGTTTACACCCATCTAGTTTCCTTAACCGTTTATCCACTTCAGGGTCACAATGATCGTGGAGCTGACCACAGGAAGTACCGGGCATCTCACACCCTAGACTGGATGCTAATCCATCACAAGGTGCTTGTGTATACACACTCACAGTATAGACAACCCTGGCATACCAAATAGATGGATAGACAGACAGACAGATAAACAGAAAACTTCAAAGAATAAAATAAAATTTAATTTAATATAGAAGTATATGATACTGCAATAGACAAGGTGCAAAAATGGAATTAGGATATTCATGAATCTGAGTTGCAAGGCGAAGCCAACAGATGTAACTAGTCCATCAAGTCCAAACAACCTACAGTTCTGTGCCTTTTGTTGTTATTTTTACCTCAAATTTGGTTTGTATGCACATGTGTCTTAAACGTGAATTGGATAGAATCATAATTGAATCCAACAGTGAGGTCAGGGCTGCTTCCCAGCTCTATACAATACCCATATGTTCCTCAAATAAGAAGATTTTGGTATACAAGGCTTTCGTTGTTCTTTATTGGTTTTCTCAGTTTGTTTTTAGTGACTCTGTATTTGTAAATTTGTGTTCTATTTAGAGATTTTTCAACATCTCTCCAAATATGTAAAGCTGCCATGTAGTATTTTATATCTCATTACTATTGAGGCAGAATCAAATCAAAAGCTTGTGAATGAAAGTCGAACTGAATCAGGGCATCTGTACTAATACCCAGCCCTACTAACTGTACCTGTTTTTGGACTGCAGAAGATAACTGATGCACCCGGTGGAAACACAAGAAGTGCATATGCACAATCTATTATAGATATCATATAAAATATATATCTATAATATTCAGTTTAATCAAAAAGACCTGTAGCCTATAGTATCATGTAGTGATGCTTTTCTGCAATTCTGAAAAAAATCATCCGCGCTTTGTGTAATTATAGCTGAAGCTTTAATTATGAAAATTCAGAAGAAATAAAGATTATGCGAAAGGTTCAACATATTTCACCCAATTCTGTCAGATCCTGACGACGCAAACTTTAATTTTGTATAACCTCGCAATTCTGCAAACAGTACGTACAATCCCTTAAAAAAAAAAAAAAAAAAAAAAATCACAACATATAAAAAAAAAAAGATAAACACACTGATACACATTTCATGACCACAGGTTGTCAAACAAACAAAGTTGTATGGCAAAGCCAAATAAACTTTAGTAACCGGGGACATCAAACTACCAAATTTGAGGTTAAATTTTCAATTCCCCAAATAACAAACGCACCACCGTTTGAAATCAAACCTCAAATCGCTGCTTTGGTGAAAGGTAGCATGTAGGTTTTAAACTAATTTATCGGTTTCTGATAGCTGCATTTGTAACTAGATAGTTAGTTCAATTCAAACTCCGGGAAATAGTTGCAGTCGTGTATGTATTATGAAAAATCACTTCCTTATGTTACAGTTCAAAGTCCTTATATGTCACTGAATACATTAAAAAAAAAAAAAAAAAAAAAAACTGGTTACACCCCCTATGTTCCTTAAACAGCCATTGCACCTAGCCATCAAAAACTGCGCCTCTCAGACTGGTAAACATGGGCATATTAATGAACGCGCTTCGGCTTTTTTCCCAAATGTTAAGCCTCCCATTGCAGTTACTGGAACTGGTAGGGATATACGGCGCATATAAGCGCATCTTCCCGTTCTTCGTGTATAAAATGTCGGTTTCGTACAACAAGAAAATGCATGAGCAGAAAAAGGAACTGTTCCGAGACTTAGCGGAGTTCGCCAGGGATGGCAGGGCGCTGCGGCTGCTGGAGATCGGCTGTGGAAGTGGGAGCAACTTTCAGTACTACCCCCGCGGCTGCACGGTAGTGTGCACAGACCCGAACCCCCATTTCAAGAAGTATTTGCAGAAGAGTGTCGCCAGTAGCGATCACCTGAAGTTTGAGAAGTTCGTGGTGGCCTCGGGCGAGGATCTGGGGGAGGTAGAGGACGGCTCGGTGGACGTAGCGGTGTGCACACTGGTACTGTGCACGGTCAAGGACACGACACGAGTCTTGGTCGAAGTGCATCGCGTATTACGGCCTGTAAGTTACGGAACCGGAGATTCTTACTCAAGCCACTTAAGTCCGACCTGTTTGTCAGTTCGGGTATCTCGAAGCTCATATCTTGTGCAGTCATGCAATCTAACACCCCAAACGTATTTCAGTGATCAATAGCGATGGTTTACGGCGTAGCAGCACGTTGGAGAGCAATGAAAATTTATCTATCTAATACCTTACTGCCTTTGTCTTTGAACGTGGTCATCGCATCAGGACAGGTTATGGGAAATTAAGTTCCCCATGTTAGCCATGTCGCGTGCTGATTTTAAATCATGACGTCACCCGCTACTTCATAGTTTCTCTGTCGTTTTAATTCCTTTCTACGAATAGTCTTGAGGTGAATAACACATATATGCGAAACCGTCGTATATGTCTTTTCGATGTTTCTATGTTTTGAAAGGTTAAATCGCTGGTAATAAATGTTTGTTGGAAAAATTCAGGAAACGCTAGTATTGCTTGTAGGACTTCTGAAAACAACTGTACTTCTTTGCCTAAATATAAAGGGTAAACATTATTTCCTGGAATCCAGAATATTTGGTTTCCCCGGCTAAAACAGACAAATCTGCATCCCAGTATGGATGATAATAGTTTATACACATGTGATTATGTATATATGAATGATTTTCACCCATCGCACATACATCTTTGCCCAAATGTGAGTATCAGCAGTATATAGGGGCAGTGTGTGGCTCAGTGGGATAAGCTTGTGTGCCTGTAATCACAAGTTTGCTGGTTCAAACCCAGCCTCAGCATGTCTGTGGGTCCTTGAGCAAGGCCCTTAACCCCCAGCTCCCTGGGTGACGCTATGGGTGAATGCCCTTTGCAGACAATTTACAAAGAGCAAGTTGAGGGAGGCATAAAGACAAGTTACAATTAAGTAGAAATTAGAATAAACAAAATGACATTGATGGTCATGCACAATATGTTAAGTCCTACAAGCAATACTTGTATTTTCCCAACATACATCTATTACCAGTTTTTAAAATCATTTTAATTATCCTTCAAAACACAGAAACATCAAAAAGACATGCAATGTTTTTGCAAACATGGTTTGTTTACCTCAATACTTTCGTAGAAATACATTAAAATGACAGATTTTACTGCCTTTGTATTTGACCGCGGTCACTGCATCAGGACCAACCGGATCTAGTACACAGGTTCCGCAAACTGCCCGCCCCTGTCTAGACGGCTCGTCCTCTTAGTGCCTTATCATGCCTCTGACCCGTTACTCTGTTACCCTTCATGTGTTATTCTTGAAATGGTGAAAATTGGTTTACAAGTAAATCTTGATGTTGGACATTTCTTTAGCCTCCTGTCTGTTGTTGTTTAGGGTGGTGCCCTGTTTTTCCTGGAGCACGTTGTGTCTGATCCATCCACCTGGACCTTCTTCATGCAGCATGTTCTCCAGCCTCTTTGGTATTACTTTGAAGATGGCTGTGAAGTTACAAGAGCCACATGGAAGGACCTGGAAGCCTCCAGGTTCTCAGAGCTAAAATTAAGGCACATTCAAGCACCTCTTTTGTTCCTTATAAAACCACACATTGTCGGTTATGCTGTCAAGTGAAACAAGTCGATGGCCAGCATCCCCAGGATAAACTAGCACATACCAGTGTAACTTTTCTTTTAAAATGTAATTTGTGGCAAATTCTGGAAATCATCGAGTGGGTTTTTTTCTCCAATTGGAGGGATTTTGTATGAGAAATGGAAAAAAACTGACAGTAAAAAAACCAAGATGGACATTAGGAGATCACACAAAGGTTTTCCTTCAAATGTTTTCTTTTGTTGACAGCCCGAGAACTGCATATAAAGCTAACTTTACTGTGGTGTTGGAATTAAGTTTTAAACTCTAACCCGCTTTCTGGAATATTTGTAATATCTTATAGCAAAATCAAGCAACACCCCCTGGGTTTTCCATATTTCTTTATGGGCAAATTTGAATAAATTTTTCAACCTTTGTGCACTTACCATTCAGTAGCCCAGCTCGGTGAATGAACACAGTTATTAATAAATACATATAAAAACACATAATATGGAAGTTACATGGTGTGCATTATCCCCCCATAGTCTAATGCTTAAAGCACACTTTACTGGACATGTCTGTATCATTTAGTTTAATACTTATTAGCCTCATCTATTACTTCTATATTTTGCACTTCAAATGGACAGAGTAGTTAATAGGGCCAACAGAATGGAAAAGTATTGCAAGATCTCTCAGAAGTCCAATTTCTTTTCTGGGGCTCCGTAGAAATCAGCAGAGCCTCAATTTATTATAAAAATGTGTTTTTATTGGTTCAGCAACACAACAGGGATAATGCGTATTGGTGAGTGACATGAGCCAGTTGCTACATGAACTACCACAGAGGTATATATAGTGGGTCATTCGCTCAAGGTTAAAAGTTCATCAGGACATTTTAGAGAACTAAAAAAATAGCTCAGTGTCCTTCCATTTGTTTAAGATAGCTGATATCTAAAGGCGTCCGACTAAGATGCCAAACATTAATGCTACTTTCAGCGGTCACGGGAAATTAGATTAGATTTTATAACCTGTCCTAGGTGACAGCACATGCTGGTTGTGTGAAAAATCCACTAATGTGCGTTGAAGATAATTGTTACACCAGCAGGTGGCGCCTGGTATTAAATAAGAGTCTAAAGTTAACCTATCATCCGCGCCCATAAAACAGGAGACGAAATTAAACAATAGTATAACTCTATAAATATGACGCGAAATCAGAAAGCAGTTAAGACCCATAATATCTTTAATATATACAATATTACCAGTTAGCATTAACATAAGTAATTTCTATACTTCTTATGTTGTATTACTTGTATATTTGGTCTGTGCAACCATTATATCCCTGCTGTGTATTGTATTTAGATTGTTCTGATTTGTGAGTCTTTTTCCAACTCTGTCTGAGTGTTTCCTCTTTCACGTGTACTTGTCCATATGTTAAAAAAACGACGAGATGGACAACATGGAGTATGGGAGGCATTTCCTGCAAAAAAAATGAAAATCTGAGGATCAGCCTCGAGAACCGTGGACGTTGGGGATATTCTTCAGGTTCAATTTCTGTACCTTAAAAGGTACTGTGACCTACAGCTAAGGGTACAATTGGCAGACCTTTGAGGGAACAACCCCAGTGTCAATGAAAGGTAGAGATTTGTACGCTTTTTTCTGAGAGTGTGCATGAGAGGAAAGTTAAAATGGAAATGGTGTTATTTTATTTTTCATTTTGGCAGGGTTTTTGCCCATTGACTTTGAATGCTAAATGGCAAAGTGAAGATTGTATTTTCATTTTATTGTTATCACTTTCATTTTCTTTTTTTGCAGGAAATACCTCCCATGCTGCATGTTGTCCGTCTCCTCGTTCAGAGCAGGGATATAATGGTCGCACAGACCAATTATACAACATAAGAAGTGTAGAAATGACTTATGTTAATGCTAATTGGCAATATTGTAAAGATTAAATATATTACGGGTCTTAACTGCTTTCTGATTTTGCGTCATATTTATAGAGTTATACTATTGTTTAATTTCGTCCTTCTCATTGTATCCTGTTGTATGGGCGCGGATGATAACTTTAGACCAGGGGTGGCCAATCTTATCCGCAAAGCGCCGGTGTGTATGCGGGTTTTTGCTGCAACTCCTTAATTAGATTACTAATTCGAGGACTGATTGGCTGAAGAGTCCTCACACCTCGGTTTGAACAACTGACCTACATGTTATCCAAAAAACCTGCATACACACCGGTCCTTTGCGGATAAGATTGGCCACCCCTTTTATTTTCTTCTAGGCGCCACCTGCTGGTGCAGCAATTAACTTCACCTCACTTTTGTGGATTTTTCAGCTGGAAGACAAAAATCCACAAATAAATAGGAGCGAAGTGACAAATGTGACCTGATCCAAAAATAGACAGGAAGTGATCCACAAATGTGCAAAATAAGTTTTACATGTAGAAGTACCTTCATATTTTTGTGGCTATAATTTTACACAACACAAATTTAAAAAATACATATTTGTGGATAGTGAAAGATTTGTGGATCATTGTACATATTTGTGAATTGTCTTTTGTGAGTTATAAATAATAAAATCCAATATATACTTCCATAAGCAGGCCTTTCCTCACCCCATAAAAATTATTGACATCTACCTAAAATGCATTAAATACCTATACAGCAAATAGAGTTAAAATTCTAGTGTTAGGAGAGTTTAAAGTGAAGTGTTGAGGTTCTGGTGTTGATTCTAACAGAAGTATCTCTGTACAGGTGAAATACGTCACACTGTTGGTGTAAAATTGTGGTGTTATCAGTTTTTAACACTGACAGTCACACTTTGACATCCGGGCACTGGGCAGGTCACTTCTGGAGCTGAATTCAATGGTAACATTTTTCCCACTTGCTTTAGGCATAAAGAAGAATTACATGTGAGTGTAAAGTGACTTACATCTGTCGTTTTATGACGTTTTATGGAGGGGAAAACAATGCTGATTGTCTCTTTATGGATGTCTTCCAGGGCTCAAACTGGGGAAGTGCTATAAGAAGCGCGCATAACCAACGCATTGAGACACTGTGGAGTGATGTCTGGAAAGGAGTTACAAATGTCTACCATTCATTGTTCGCATATCTGGAGAATGAAGGTATAATGAACTCCAGTAGCGAAATGCACCTCTGGGCTCTTCACTTTGTATAACTGCCCCGGATAAATCGTGACCTCAAATTGTCCGCAAATCAGTGGAACCACCACCGAATGAGAACTGCCAGATACATGTCACCAAATCAGATTTTTGCGCAAGGTTGCCTGTCACAGCAGGTGCGTCACACTGGTGTCCAAGGTGTATTTGGAGTGGATGAGCAGCTGGTTCCAGGGGAAGATTGCGTAGTAATTGCAGCACAGGACCATGAAACAGCTGCACCAGGAGGTTTGGGAATGGCTGCCACAGCCAACCAGGGGGCTAGAGTGCCTGATTTTCAGTGGCCTCAAACAGTCCAGGTTCCATTCAACCAGTTTACACCCACCGATGAACACTTGCAACGTCTCAGGCAACACATAAATCCTTTTGGCGGAGCTACAGACAGTTTGGGAAGGTGATACTTTTTAACAGGTTCTCAACACAGAAACATCTGAGATCTTATGACAGTGCCACAGTGCTTTTTAAAAATGAAAGCTTAATAAACAGAAAAGCCCAAATACAACTGCTTGTCTGGTGTTTCTGTAAAAGCATTATCAACAATTAAGAACATTTAATAAACCCAAGCCATCTGAAAAACTTCTTCCTAAATTCTGAATTTAGCTTCCTCAGTGCTTAAATTCTAAAACTCCAAGCTCCATGTTTTTTAAACAATAACATTTAATATATCGAAACCATCTGAAAAGCTGCCAAAATAAACACTTAATAAATCCAAACCATCTGCAAAACTTCTAAAATAATATTTAATAAATATAAACCATCTGAAGTTATTTTTGAGGCATATTGTCATGCACAGTACTTAAAAGGATTATTAGCATTATTTCAAGTTTGTTCCTCGGACAGAGATGGGGCCGCACTCCACCCTTTCCATCACTATATACTCCTGGTAAAAGAGGACTGGAAGCGGCGATGGTGCGTCTAGCTGACCTCAAGCTCAAAATGTCAACCTATCGACTAGTCTGTGCAACCCCTTGTTTGTATGAGAGATGGTTGACATGCCTAGCTTTGAGAACCAGAGAGCAGTACCAGCACAGAAGCTAAGCAATGTCATTCTCTGGGAAGGTTCAACAGAAAGACTTGTTTTAACGTTTTTAAGGTTTTTTTCTGGTTACAGAGTGGAACAGTAACATGTCCTCTCTCTCTAGCTACTCCTGCATGTCCTACCACTTCAGCCTGCTAAAAAAGAAAATACATAAGATGAGTGCTTCACAAGCTATGGACCACTTGCTTGTATTTCACTTGGTTGTATGTACTAGTATATGATTTAAGTAGGAGATGTGGCACAGAGTATACTATACAATGTTACAATGCAACTATGTGCTTTTTTCATAGTCATGTATGAGTGTGGAGGCACAGAGTATACTATACAATGTTACAATGCAACTATGTGCTTTTTTCATACAGTCATGTATAAGTGTGGAGGAACAGACCAGAGGAACTTCGGCAGCCCTACTTTCTTGCATCTGGAAAATGTAAGCAGACCATCAGTACTTACTACATTGTGATGGACAAGAAGCTCCTCCCCTGCCAAGGAACCACATCATTGGCAGCCTTTGATGAACTTTTTAAGGTGCACTTTGTTTTCAATTTAAGTTACGATGATGCTTTTTGCAACATGATCACATTCCTCCAGACGACAGTCTATGGCATTGATGTTGACACCACTAAAGAAAGTCCAAAGGTGAAAGAATTGAGGGCCAAGTTCATGAACACAAGCTGAGAGAAAGGCTGAGAGAAACATGTGTGTCTGTCATTTTTAGTGCAGTGCATCCCAGCACTTGTGTAGCTAGGCAGCACTTTTTTTGCACAGGCTATGTTTTGGCAAAAATGATTTTGGTTTTAGTCATTAAATTAAATGTGTTGGCAAATAGAAGAAAACCCAATTACATAGAAGCAGAGGCAAGGAGCCAAGTTCTTGAGTTATGTACAGGTGTCATATTTTTAGACCTTTGTTTAATGAACCAAGTGTTTTAATTCAGCACCTTACATTTTTTCATGGGTTATATCCAGGCAAAAAAAAATGTTCTTTGTGCTCAAGAAGAATGTTCATTGCAGTTTAAAAGTTTTGCTGGTTTTAGAAAGCATTTAAATATTTTTTATCAAACTCTTAACATGGGCACAAGTTATGAAGTTAATATTTTAATGCCACATCAGTCAGACTTCAGTGAACAGAGCTCACAATAAGAAGCCTGCAACATTGAGCCAGATGAAGAAAGTCAACCTACAACATCTGGCACTCAAAGTGGACAAAGTATTTTAGTGAGAAATGGGGTGTGGTTGAACCACTTGAAATTGTCTTAGGTGTGAGATATGATTCAAAGAGAAGCAAAATATCTGGAGTATATGAGCAGGTACCAGTGAATGACACTTTCATTTATGTACCCCTTTTAAAAACATTAGAGTTCATTTTCAGGAATAAAGATTTGTGTTGTTACATCAGTAAAACTGCTGCTTTTGGTGGCTTATACAAGGATTTCTGTGATGGAAAGTACTATAGTCTCCACCAGGGTTCCATGCCTGTGGAGTTTGCATGTTCTCCCTGTGCCGCTGTGGGGGTTTCCTCCACAGTCCAAAGACACGTCGAGCCTAATTGGAGTTACCAAATCACCCATATGTGTGCATGTCCCCTGCAATTGATTGGTGTTCCATCCTGAGGTTCCAGACCCCCCGCAATGCTGAATAGGGTAAGTGGGTACAGAAATCAAATGGTTTTTCAATTCCCCACATAACTCAAGTGCCACAGCTTGAGGTCAAACTTGCGTTTAAAATATGGAATATCCAGTGAGTATTGAGTTCAGTCCAATAAGAGAACTCTCATACATAAAAACTGTCATACATAAAAACTCTCATACATAAGAACTCTCATATATAAAAATTACTATCTGTTGCTTTGATGAAAAGGTGCATATGGCGTTTACACTAATTTATCGGTTTCTGATAGCTGCATTTGTAACTATATATAGTTGTTAGTTCAATTCAAACTCCGGGAAATAGTTGTAGTCGTGTATGTATTATGAAAAATCACTTCCTTATGTTACAGTTCAAAGTCCTTATGTGTCACTGAATACATTTAAAAAAAAAAACTGGTTACACCCCCTATGTTCCTTAAACAGCCATTGCACCTAGCCATCAAAAACTGCGCCGCTCAGACTGGTAAACATGGGCATTTTAATGAACGCGTTTCGGCTTTTTTTCCAAATGTTAAGCCTCCCATTGCAGTTACTGGAACTGGTAGGGATATACGGCGCATATAAGCGCATCTTCCCGTTCGTCGTATATAAAATGTCGGGTTCGTACAACAAGAAAATGCATGAGCAGAAAAAGGAACTGTTCCGAGACTTAGCGGAGTTCGCCAGGGATGGCAGGGCGCTGCGGCTGCTGGAGATCGGCTGTGGAAGTGGGAGCAACTTTCAGTACTACCCCCGCGGCTGCACGGTAGTGTGCACAGACCCGAACCCCCATTTCAAGAAGTATTTGCAGAAGAGTGTCGCCAGTAGCGATCACCTGAAGTTTGAGAAGTTCGTGGTGGCCTCGGGCGAGGATCTGGGGGAGGTGGAGGACGGCTCGGTGGACGTAGCGGTGTGCACACTGGTGCTGTGCACGGTCAAGGACACGACGCGAGTGCTGGCCGAAGTGCATCGCGTATTACGGCCTGTAAGTTACGGAACCGGAGATTCTTACTCAAGCCACTTAAGTCCGACCTGTTTGTCAGTTCGGGTATCTCGAAGCTCATATCTTGTGCAGTCGTGCAATCTAACATAGCAAACGTATTTCAGTGATCAATAGCGATGGTCTACAGCGTAGCAGCACGTTGGAGAGCAATGCAAATTACATCTTTTTAGGAGTTTTGACCTGGGATAATTGCGAAAAAAAGAACTAAATTATCCTGTCTGAGGAATTTTTACGGTTATTAATCGGCTAATGTTAGGCATTAGTTAGGGATAATGTAGGCCTGTGTGTGCCCAAATTTAGGCCCAACAAGAGAGCGATAGATCAGTTTCCCGTTTAGTCAATGAGATCGGTGTGTCGCCTACCAGCGGTTGATGTACTCAGATCTTACTGCCTTTCTATTTGACCGCGGTCACTGCATCAGGACCAACCGGATCTAGTACACAGGTTCCGCAAACTGCCCGCCCCTGTCTAGACGGCTCGTCCTTGTAGTGCCTTATCATGCCTCTGACCCGTTACTCTGTTACCCTTTATGTGTTAATCTTGAAATGGTGAAAATTGGTTTACAAGTAAATTTTGATGTTGGACATTTCTTTAGGCTCATGTCTATTGTTGTTTAGGGTGGTGCCCTGTTTTTCCTGGAGCACGTTGTGTCTGATCCATCCACCTGGACCTTCTTCATGCAGCATGTTCTCCAGCCTCTTTGGTATTACTTTGGAGATGGCTGTGAAGCTACAAGAGCCACGTGGAAGGACCTGGAAGCCTCCAGGTTCTCAGAGCTCAAATTAAGGCACATTCAAGCACCCCTTTTCTTCATCATAAAACCACACATTGTCGGTTATGCTGTCAAGTGAAACAAGTCGATGGCCAGCATCCCCAGGATTAACTAGCACATACTGTACCAGTGTAACTTTTCTTTTAAAGTGTAATTTGTAGCAAATTCTGGAAATCGAGTGGGTTTTTTTCTCTAATTGGAGGGAATTTGTATGAGAAATGGCTTCAACGCTGTTAATGATGGCAGACACAATCTGTATCTTTGTCACCTGTGTGAAACATCTCCTCTGCTGTTTGTTTTAATCATTTTAAAATCAGAAATTAAAACACCAATTTAACCCTCTATGGGCAATTGTGGTGGAAGTTTAGGGAGCCCCAGAAGGGACATGGAAGGGAAGAAAAAACTGACGGTAAAAAAAAAAAACCAAGATGGACATTAGGAGATCACGCAAAGGTTTTCCTTCAAATGTTTTCTTTTGTTGACAGCCCGAGAACTGCATATAAAGCTAACTTTACAGTGGTGTTGGAATTAAGTTTTAAACTCTAACCCGCTTTCTGGAATATTTCAGTGTGCATCTGCATACTCCCACACACAGCACCGAGCGAGAAAACCAGTGAGGTAAACGCGAGTGGGTTCAGGTTTAAACCTTAAGTATAACACTGCAGTAAAGTTAGCTTTATATTAAGTTTTCCAGTTGTAATATCTTTTAGCAAAATCAAGCAACACCCCCTGGGTTTCCATATTCCTTTATTGGCAAATTTTAATTAATAGGCCCATTTCAATGTTTTGCATGTGCACATAACACTCAGTAGCCCAGCTGTCTTGCTTACTATTTACTGGCAGTGAATGGACACAGTGCAATTATTAATAAATACATATAACATATGAAACATGTTACATGATGTGCATTGTCATCCCCCACCCATAGTTTGCTTAAAGCACACTTTACTGGACATGTATCATTTAGTTTAATACTTATTAGCCTTATCTATTAATTCTATATTTTGCACTTCAAATGGACAGAGTAGTTATTAGGGCCAACAGAATGGAAAAGTATTGCAAGATCTCTCAGAATTCCAATTTCTTTTTAAAACCATTTATTTTTTTCCCATTCGTGTCCCTTCTGGGGCTCCGTAGAAATCAGTAGAGCTTCAATTTATTATAAAAATATATGTTTTTATTGGTTCAGCAACACAGCAGGAATAATGCCCTTTGGTGAATGACATGAGCCAGTTGCTACGTGAGCTACCACACAGGTATATATAGTGGGTAATTCGCTCAAGATTAAAAGTTTGTGTGGTTCAACCCAGCCCAACTCTGTCTCTCTCCATTATCTGCCCAGAGAGATAAAGCACAGTTCCAGCAAAAGGCATGCTTCTAACTTGAGTGTAAGAGGAGGTGTCCTGCAGGACTGGTATGCTGTCCAGGGTGGACAATCCTTTGAGGCGAATGCTTCCTGCAGAAAGCTCAGGAATACCACAGCCTTGGCTAGAAGCAGTTAAAATAACACTGGATCAGCCATTAGTTAACACAAATTGAGTCAAACACTGTAAAAAAAACATAGCAGTGTAAAGGTGGTCAGTGTAGCATGATGTCAAAATTCTTATGATGTCAAACATTCTCAAAGCTTAAGAGCAGAACTAGAACAAGCAGCAGCTAAAAATGTACATGTAACCATGTAAATTTTTTAACAAATGGAATTTATGTAAATCCTTACCCCAGCCTTTTTACTGAGGCCTTATCCTTCAACCGAAGTTTATGAGAACAAAAACCATCAGGTTCCGTCTTGAATGGTTTGTGATCAGAAACAGCATTGCTTTACCTGCCTACCCATCTGCTCCCCATACTGCCTCAAACCGCTGTTGATGAGAGAAAGACAACACTGTATCCTGAGGGACCTTTCACCGAAATGGAGGTCCTGCTTCAATCTTAAATTTTGGTCCAACATGTTTCCATCATGGAAGTTTTAGGGAAGGTAGACGGTGCCTTACCGTTAAATGTCATTCTGTCAAAGAATATTCTGAAAGTCTAATATTTGATTTATTTTGTTTGGAGGACATGGAATCAAAAACAAACAGTACACAGGAAAGTATGTTTTAACAAAAACAATCTGTTGGAAATACCTTTCTAGTACGTAATTTACAGTCACGGAATAAAAGTATGAAAAGACTTGTTAAATCAAACGTAAGTCAATTTTATTTTATAAAAGCATTTTACAGCATCTAGATATTAATTATCATTCATTCAAAGTAATCAATCCTATTCCTTTAAAGAATATAAACACTGATAACAGCATTTCTTTAACCTTGCTATCACAGATGTTTTCATATCCCAGCTTCTACAGCACAGACATGAACATCTCCCATTATCTCCATAAGAACAAAATGAAACATCATTTACGCCAAAGCTGCCCTGAAACATGCCCTAGATCAACACTATTTAATCCAACACCAAACAAACTGAGCCCATGTCTCTGGCCATCAATACATAAAAACGGCATTAGCTCCGTTTTCCGCCGTGGCTATAAAAAAATCCCGTTGCTATAGAGCAGAATGGAGTCCAGAGTCTCAGACGCCGAACACATGTGCACTGACCCAGCAGCCCAAACTGTTCATCACATCAGACTCATGCTCCGTTCCTCCTGTAAGAACCACACACTGATGCCAAACTCTGCTCTACAGCAGGTCCAGGAAAAGCCCGTGCACTTGGTCTGAAGATGTATTAGGAGCTTGTCCGATTTCTTCAGTTCCTGCCGCTCTCAGCAAATCTTAAAATACTAGGACAAATCAAAAGACTGGAAAAATATTTTACTTTATTAAGATTCATGTACCAAATGAGTGACATTTCTTAAGCCTGATTCAAATGAATGTCACCCAGATAGCAAAACATACTCATGTTCCCTGATTGATTGTCTCTGTAACAGCTTGGCTCGCCACACCACTAATTAACCCTTTACGTTTTGCAGAAAATCAGAGTTTGGAATGGAGAACCTGTAACATTCTCCTCACAAAATGGGGGATAACATGAAAAAATGCTGACTTACACAAAAGAGAAACATGAATCACATGATTTACAGTCATGATACACTCACAATACTGCTGCACTTTCGGATAACGGAACAGCAGATTTCTATTGCTACATTAAAAAAAAAAGATATGAAAATCTAACTTATATAGGAAAATTAAATGTAACGCTTAAAGTTCACAATTCCAGATTTCATGTGCAAAAAAAAAAAAAAAAATCCAATATGTCGATTTGGTAAATTCGCCTCCAATTCTGAAGTTTTTTTCCCCCCTGGTCATTCTGCTGCTCACAAAGACTCCTTAAAACAAAGATAAAATGATAGCCATGGAGGGTGGGGGCAGCAGAAGGGCGTGCCCCCGCTCCTGCTGTCCGTGGCGAGCCATCAGAGCCCCATTACCCTGTCTTGACGCAGTAAAGGTCCTTTAATGTCTTGAGCTCCTCAATCAGCGTCTTGTTTTGGTTCTCCAACACGGCCACACGATTCTCCAGACACTTCACATACTCCTTTTTCTTTCGCCGACACTCACGTGCTGCCTCCCTTCACAGAGACAGAGGCCAGCAGTCAATGTGAACGTTAAACACCATCAAACAGCACAGACAGACCTCCCACTCTGAGAAATGGTACCAGCTGGTGATAGATTCCCATAGGTAACGCCATTTCACTGGGCCATACATTTGATTGCATGAATCCCACTCCAAGAAAACCCCATTTTCCAGAGAAAAGGCATTTTTAACATGTTTTAGATAGACAGTAAATACTTAGTAGTTAATAGTTACAATTTCTGCGAGAAACAAGATTTCCTAAAATATACAGTAGAAGTGTTCCATTTATGTGAGAAACCTTAATTTGTAATAATCAGAATCATGCTAACAAGCTGGAATATAAACATTGGGCCTCATTCACCAATATTTTCTTAAGAATTCTCTTAAATTTGTTCCTGCGAAATTTAAGAACAACCTACGTCGGATTCATGACGTGTTCTTAAGTAGCAGAATTGTTCGCACCTTTGTTCTTAAGAATGGTGAATCCCACGTCTTCGTAACTGAAAGTGCGTGCCAGTTTGTCCTAATTAGCATAGGGAAACGTCCTGCAATTTCCTATAAAAGGGCATGAGACTGTTGGGCCGTGTGCAAGGAATGGCGAAGAGACGCGCAGGCTGTGAGCCGCTTGGCACTAAGAGGAAAAAAACTTCAGTAATGCTGAAGTAGAAGTATTAATACAGTAAAATCCCGTTATAGTGGAGCCGCTTATAACGGAATATCATCTATAACGGACGAGGTCCACTGGTCCCGGCCGTGCACCTTTAAGAACTTGCAGAAAAATATATAGCGGACTCGCATTTAATGGAATTTCGCTTATAATGGACAAACAATTTAGTCCCCAGCGCCGCTTTTGCTGTAGTTTTGTTCAGCTATAACGGACATGCAGCTCCGCCTACAAAACGCGTGGCGTGCCGGTGATATCCAGCGCAGATACGTAGTCGGGATTATTGATAGTCACGCATCTGCTGAGGTAAAGTTGGATTACTACATGTATAATATAATAATCTATACCACAAATGTGTCTGCTGGGATGTGGCATGAGTAAATGGTGTCCTGTAGTTGTATTCGGGGCATACAGCAACTTTGGATATAACAGACTTTGGATATAATGGACTGTTTTGCCAGGCCCTTGAAGTCCGTTATAACTGGATCTTACTGTACAGGAGGCAAATGCAAATAGACACATGTTATTTAGTAGCGTAACCAGTGGATATAAAGCCCCAAAGAAAGCTGATACATGGAAAGATATCACCTTCTCTGTGAGCACTGTGTGCCAAATAAATCTAAATGATCTTCAAACATGCATTCCCTTCTCAGAGCAACATTGGCAAGCTCTTCAAGAAGTAGCAGAAATTCCATTTTGATAGCAAGGCCAATGCACAGAAACAGACCTATTTATAATCCGCATGATTGCCGTTACTACCATGAAAATAATTTTTACACTTTAAAATTATTTTTTATATTTTACTTTTATAAATTATTCAAATACTTTCATTTTATGAACTGTAGAATGAACAAAACTGCTATAACTGATTATTTTGAACAAACTATCATTACTCAAATGTGCGTACGAATGGTCTTGAGTGTGCGTAGATTCTGTTCTTAGTTAAGAACAAATTCAGATAAGAAAACATTGGTGAATGTCAGAATCTTCGTAAAAAAAGTGCGTACGTGGGGTACAAATTTGTTCGTAAGAACGGTTGGTGAATGAGGCCCATTGTTTTTTAAGTTTTAGTTTTGTTCAGTTTTATTAGGCTTAGTCTTTTCATCATTTTGTTTCCTTTTGTTTTCGTTACACTTAGAGTTAGCTTAGTTTGGGATGTGTTTGTTAGCTGTTTTGGTTGTTGTTTTGGCCTGGGTCACTCCCGAAGTTTGTTGCACCTCGTGTTTGTAACCGTGTCTGTGAATAAATATAAAAAACTATAAAAACAGATCCCTTTGTTTCCTGTGTTCCCTTTTCCCATTCCCTGGTTGTCTCGTCTTCCCCTCTCCCTTACCTTTCTGTCGATCCTCAACCCTAGACTGGGGATCGTAACATTAATAACTCCTGGTCCTGAGGGATTCTACTTTGAATGTTTCCCTACATGTATGATTTGTGACTTGGGGCTGCACGCTGTGATTATAGCATATATTGCGATGAATGCTGCGGTAGCAAAGCCCGCAGCTGGTCATCCAGATCCCAGCCGCCCCCAAGCTGTATGCGCACCAACCTGCAGCACTGCACTGGGCTCTCAGGGCAGGCAGGACTAATCCACAGCAGTGAACAGCAGCTGTGGGAAGCACACACACCTGTTCTTGGCCAGTCGGATCTCTCGCTTCATCTGGGGGTCGTCCGTCTTGGTGCTCTGGGAGGAGATGCTCATGGGGGAAGTCATGACCACCGTCTGGGGGATGGAGCTGGTGGTGGGTGCCGTGCGGATCTGGTAGGTCTGAACCTCTCCTCCGGCACCTGAAAGACACGACCAGTCTCAGAGCTCAAAGGTGAAATGGCCATGTACTCTGAGGGCCTTCATGTACTCAGACTAAAAGGAGTTTGCCTTATAGAATCCAATCACTGTGCAAATTGTCCATTCACATAACTGAAATCTCTTTAAGAAACGTGCAGGCATGACCAGAGGTGGCATGTGGAATTTTGAGCTTCAGATGTCTCACTCACTCTGCACCACCACCTGGTTGCTGGGCACCAGAATCTGCTGGCCGTCTGGAGTCTGTGCATACTGCAAGATTGTAGCGCCTGGCTGTGCCGAACCCGAGTTGGTCATGGTGAGCGTCTGCAGACCCTGCATGCCTTCTCCACCTGGACTGGTCAGCTGGATGGTGCCATTAGGTGCGATCGCAACTGTGGAAGACAGCGTCACCCTCCTGGCATCAGGAGCATGTCGCATATAGCCTGCATACAGCCAGCATTTATCCTGCTGTAAATCAACTCTAGGTTAATATCTGCCCAACCAAATTAAGGACAAATAAGAGCCTAAACTATACTGACTAGATTTAGATGGTCTTTAGTTTCAGAAGACCAAAGCATGAAAAACAAATAAACTTTATTATAACTTTTGAAAATCTTAAGTCTTTTTGTCAATTTAATACCAGAGGTTTCATCATCCCAACCATCCATTAAAGCACAATATATACATATTTATTTATAACTATTTCCCCACACAAAGTGTGTGTCGATATATCAATAGTTGTGTATTACCCCTTTACACACTTGCATCGAATATTTTAAATAAACTAAAATCATTCCAACCATGTTACAGATATAAGAATCAAAAGCTGCCTAATACAAACCTAAAAATGTAAATACGAGATATTTTGCAAAATTTAAGAAATACACAGTTAGCAAACTTTTTATATGAACTTTTCTCAGCTCTAATTTTTCCTGCTGACCTGAGTACAAAGTGCTGATGCTATGCTTCGCTGGTATTAGGGCTGCACAGCATGCAGCTGCTATAATCTAGGTACTCGGGTGGGCAGCCAGAGGGACCATTTGGACATACAGGTATCCACTGCACAGCCATGCCCAAGAAAAACGAGAAAACCTCTTCTTAAGCACGTCAGCCCTCCATATGAACGTCAAAAAAACGGTTTGTATCTAATGCTGAAATACTTACGGCTAATTACATAGGCTCCCGTATGATGAGTCAGTACGTTTTTTATTATATAAAAGGACAATGAGGAAATATCTCACTCACTGCAGATTTGATATACATGCCTTGGTATTCAATAAGATTTCCCAAGTTACTCTACATATTGGCAGTTTATGATACAATTAAAACATTTTGGGCATCATGCAAGTCAGTGTTTTCTATAAATATCTAGTTTAAAACCATTTTTCCAGTTTTTAAACACTGTAAAGATATACTGCTAAACAGACTGTAGATGTCACTAAACTGCCAGAAATGTTGCATTGAGGACACAGCCAGCAGCATTTACTTAATAATGAGTAATTTCTGAAAGAGCAGAAATCCATAGTAAAAGTGAGCAGAAGCCTTACTGTACTGGCCCGTGCTGGTCTGGTAGATTGGAGTGGGGACAGTCACAGTGGTCATGGCTGTGGATGCAGCACTGTCCTCCTCCCCCTCGTTTCGAGATGCCACCTCCTCCGATGAGAGGTCATTCAGAATCTTCCTATAGGTGATAGGCCAGTAAGCAGGGTCACTGAGCAGCCAGGGCTGTCCAGTCGTGTTCCGTGAGGACCAAGGTGTGTGTTTTCTATTGCACATCAGCACTCAGTCCTTTAAAATTAGACAATATGCTAAATAGTGACATTTTATTGGATGTTTATGTTCATCGGTCAACTAAATAAAAATTAGAAGCAGAAAAATTTAAGATCTGCATCGGAAACACATATTCCTGAAGAATTATGCTGTGCTCTGAGGATTCTGAAATGATTATCAATCGGCCAGCTGATGGAAGCCAAACTGAGTAGAAATATGTGACAATTTTGCAAGAAATGAAGACTGAATTCATGTCTGACAGTGTTAGACAAAATTTAAATCCTTGTTAAGAAAACTTTGATCCAAGTCATTCTGCCTGTATCTATAGTGGATATAAAATCCAGGCTTGGAAACTGAAGGATCTAGAACATTTTTGCAAGGAAGAGTAGTAAAATGTTACCAAGTCAAGGTGTACTAAGCTGACACACTCTTACCCAAAAAGGCTGAATGCTTTAATAAAATCCAAACATGCTCCAACAAAATATTAGGTTTAAGGGTCTGCACACTTATGCAAGCAGGTTATTGTCTTTATTTTTTCCACCTTATTTGTATAGGCTGCAATTTCACGATAAAGGTGGAAAATGTTCCGACATGATTAAATTTTTTTACATCACAAAAACCTGCCATTATAGCAAGGGTGTGCAGAGTTTTTTTTAAGTCCACTTTAACCCAATAAGTGTATTTAAAGACATTTGGTCTTTGTTAAACTAGGTCATGCCTAGTTATGTCTGCAGTTTGGTAACAGTCTTGTTGGCCATCTTTGCAAACCAAATTAAATTGATAAGATATAGTGTCCCACAGAAACAAATCCCCTATGTTTTTCCCCTAAAATAATTAACGTCTTATTTAATGCAGGGATCACATCTGTGAATAAGGAAGGAATTTATTTTTAATGCCATAATCCTATTATACATAAAAAAAAATCTGTCATTACCTGTAGACCACACATGAAGCAATAGGTAACCAATTAACCATCAAATGCTTTGTAAGTTTAGTCATTGAACAGAATTTGTCCAAACGCCCATTGCTAATGCTGACCAAGAGGTATGATATTCTCAATAAACAATGACTAATTCATCAATTGGGTGCCAAGACAATGAAATCCCACAAACTCTCGCAATTACCCTGGCTGAATGTCACCTGCTATATATACTATATAATTATATATATACATATGAGAGCATCATCAGAGCATCTCAGATGGGAGGGTCATATTACATTACAGAAATAAAAAAATCAAACTATGGTGACACGGCGGCAGTACCTGTAGGAGGGGCGCCTGGCTAAGAGCTCTCGGGACTTGTGAGATGAAGCGGCACTGTCTGAGGACTCCTGGGAGTCATCGCTATCCGACTGACCCTATGCAAGGAGCTTGGGTGAGATAGAAAGACAGGGGGAGAGCAAATTCGAAAACAGTCAACCTCTTATATGCGGTGCCCGCCTTACCTGGCTAGCTTGTACCTGAGGGGCCTGGATGACGGATGACTGGGCAGACTGGATCACCCCTTGGACCTGGAACTGACCCCCAGGGAGCTGCACCACAGTCACCGGGGAACCGCCAAGGGACATCTGCAAACACAGTTTCCCCCCTTCCTGTAATGCGTAGTGCTTTCCTTCATCCAAGGGAGACACTAAATTCATGGCATACAAAGCAGCCAATAGCGTAATCTCCATCATTTTAGTTAAAAACCAGTTGCAATACATTGTGCAGTTAAAATGCACTTTTTCATGATGCAAACTCCTATATCATTAATCACCTTTTTCTACTATTACTAATCTATACAGTTAACTACCAAAGCTTAAAAATACAGCAACAAACGTGATAAGCCTCCATGAGTGACCAGATTCTCTTAATTGCAGCATATATTCTGCATGTGTCAATAAAACAATGGAATAATATTCATCACAGAGAAATTTCATAACCAGGTTTTGCTGATGGTGGTGAAAAAGATGGTAAGATCCTTCATTGTCACTGCAGCTTGTACAAAATTTTGCATGGCAACAGTCTTTAAAATAGCCGACAACACAGAATGAGACACCCGGTAAGGTTCACTTGAGTTAGAAAAAGCTGACTAGTCTCGTCCTGGAATGTTCTTTACGCCGTTTTAAAACTTGTCCAATAGCTGACCACTCGTGACCTGTGGATACAGGCTTGAAATTTTGGAAGATTCCACTCCAGCAGCACAGGGATGTTTCATGAGAAGCATAATCACTCAGAACGGCTTTGAATTTACTGACATTATTGTTCTCTAAGGGCTATACATGTCAGGAAAATGAATCCCACATAGCAGAACTACCAGAACCCATTATAGCGGCTGAAAAACACCTGAGCCTCTACAGGGTACCTCTGACAAATGGCACAGACGTATTCATCTGGTTGTTGAGACCAGAGTCAATGATGACTCATCCGACCATACGAATCTTTTCCACTGCTCAGTACACTACTGCCTGTTCTTTGTTTCACTTGCCAAAGTATATTTTCAGGTGTTATGAAGTGTTTATGCACTTTTACCTGAATACAGTATCCCTTTTCTGAAGTTCTCATCAGACCACACTTGTTTAAACTATGTTCTCATGTCGTACACTAATGACTCCAAGTCACTTCTCTGTTTCGCCTTGCATCCTGACCCATGTGTAGCAATCTAAAACATGACAGGATGCTAATTGTTTACTTAACTCATGAAACACCCTGTGTGGAAGCACTTGCCTTATATGTACTTTGAATCTTTCAGAAGGACAGAAAAGACCTGACCTAAATAATTGGAGACTTAAATATTAAATTGATGTACTTCTTGATCAATGGGACACCAGCTGCAGTACCACTTTAGAAGGACCCTGGTAATGGTGTTATGTGTTGTGGGTAGTTTTATATACAAAGAATGCTTTGTCCCTGGAAATGAATAGTTCATGAGTTGGTACCGCTTCCTCACAGCCAACCACACAGAAACCTGTAATGACCTTCTAGCTCTGCAAAAGCCATTTTATTGGCTGCATAATAACTGCTCCCTATAAGAATAGCAAAAGGTACTCGTTGGGTGGAGACTAGTGCATCTTAATTTAGAGGACAACTGGTGCTTTATGCAACTTAATTTATGAGTATGTATCATTTCTGAAAATATTTATATACTTTAATGACTTGGGAGACCAAACAATACAATACCTAACAAATTAATAAACAATGCACCAAAAGCTACTGCACTGCAGCTTACTGGAAAAACAGAGATTCATGTTGGTGTACCTCTAGCACTTACCATTTTCTAATAAAACGCCAAACTGAAAACTAGACCTGCTGTTTTTTTGCAAATAATGATAATGTAGATTACCAGTCTGGCCACAAAGTGGCGCTGCACTCAGATGAAGATATAACAAGGTTCATAACAAGATGGGGTGCAACCTGTTCAGCCCCATACCTGCTGTGCAATATGGGAGATCTGGGAGGCGCTGATGGTGGTGGGGATGGTGATGGTCTGGGAATCGTTGCCATTGGTGCTGCTCTGCTGCACCCCCTCCATCATCACTGCGAGACACAAAACCCCATCAGTGCCTAAGTGAAGCTCTACAATTCGCTGTCCTAAAGCATACAATCCAGACTTTAAAAAAACAAAAAAAAAAAAAATGACAAAGAACCTCCCATCACCATCACCACCATCACCTCATTCCAACCCGTCCCCCATTTTGACTATTTCCTGGTTGTTTAAGGCCTGCATAAAAAATTATTTCTGATGGATGGTTTCTTAAGTCCCCTGTTACTGAGATCACAACAGGAAATTCCCATCTGCTCATTTCCAAGGGTACGCTGGGAACCCAGAGGAAATCACTGTGCTAAACACAGGAGTCAAACACTCAAAAAGAATTGCAGGAAGTAGTCTCCAGTCCCAACATGTGCATACATGTTCTGGCATAATCTGCTACTAAACATCTTCAGATCACAAAGTGAAATGTATTACATTTTTCAAACACTTTACAAGGCCTAGCGCTGTCAAAAATTCAATACCCACACAGCATAATATGGGTATATATAACATGGCTTAACAGCCAATTACAAAGTTTTTGATCAACCTTATTTTACAGTAATGAGTCATTCAAAAAACATAACTTTACATTCATGAGAAATTCAGACAGTGCATTTTTTTATTAATAGGTTTACCTTAAAACACAGCAATACATGTAAATGTTACCTGTTTATTGGTCTTTAGCTTTTAATCAACTTTTAAAATCAACATTATTTTTTATAACTTAAAGGCAAAACAGTGGTTTTAATCAAATTAAAATTGGTACAATGACTAAACAAAAAAGTCCTTTATATTACACGCTAAAGGCATTCCATATACAGAATATTTGAATGCAATCGACGTGTAACTACTCCCTGCATCTGATGAACTGACAGAACAAGCTTATTAAAGACTTGAGTCCTTATTAGCCGATTAGCTAGCTGAAACAAGCATTCATAACAATCTAGATCTCATATAGCATCCGACACCCACTGCCTGCCACGATGACGGGTCTCTGTGGCCTCCAACTGCGCAACACACCAGCCGTTTTATTTTAGCAATCTCCCTGAGAGTCTCCACAGCACATCCATCTCACAGTGGATGGTGCTTTGACTAATTATTGCATATTTTTTCTGATCACACACATAGCCTTCGTGGTTCTCTACTTTGCAGGTGACTATTGCCATATCATATATATTTGGAAAAAGCGAGTGATGTTAATATTGTAAATCATCTTTTTTTAAATCGTGCTTACTACTGTCAGTGCTGCTGTCACTGGTGGATGAGGAGGAAATGGTAAAACCACTGGCAGTGAGATCATGAGTCCTTCCTGAAGCTTTAGTATTTATACCTTGCAAGTAGGGCACCATTCCTGAGATAGTTAAGGTGATTATGCTGTCGGGGTTCACATTATGTCTTGTTATTGCACATAATGAGCAATAAATGTATCCTTCGAAATGTATCGTTCAGAATTCCGTTTAAATCAATAACATGATACTTTGACAATTCTATTCAATATTGCTCCAGTAACTGTATTATAGCGTTTTACATAACATGATCTTGCGTAAGTACATCTGACATCATCAGAGCAGCATGTACAAAACAAAGGTGACCCACCTCTGTTCACATCTAGCAATACTAAAATTCAAGCACATTTATTTATTTACATTATTTCCGATATGAAGCATGACGACAGGTACTAATAAAAAAATCCATAACCTTTGGGTACATGCATAGAAAGAGTTGACTGAAAAACTTTGACCGCCAATAATAACAGCTAAGACAAGTTTAAAAAAAAAACAGCATAACAGAAGACGACGTTATGACAAGTAACACGTGTGTTGCAGACCCAAAAGATAAACCTGAAAAATATACAATTATGCATACATGTGTTCTAAAAAAGACTGCACACATGCAAATCCCACCAAAAGTGATTTAGATGCATCTTTATCCCGGCCACTGATACCATCGCCATCGATAAACGGAACCTCTTAAAAATACCAAACATCTTACAGGGTAAAAAGAGGCCTGCTGCCACGATATATGTTAGCTAACCTGACAAACCAACTTAAACAACTATCAAAACGACTGTACTTAACCCATGTGATCCAGGTTAAATTCCATATTACTTTTAAATGTTGATGCACAGCTTGACTCTAAACAAATAACTAGCATAAAATGGGAGCTACGAAGTACAAGAAAAAGCAGCAGCGCGGCGGTGTAAAGTGTGAATAACTAGTTGGCTAACGCCTTAAAGGTTATGCGCGGTATCCCGTCTACTCTGGAGCGGTTCCGGACGCCGAACTGGCGAGCTCACTAACAAACCAACGGCGCCTCACAAACTAATCGCCCTTCTGCGGCACAGCCAGCGACTGTAACCCGCCTCGGCGAGCGAATTCGCTCCGTGCGGCGCAAAAGCAAGTCACTGGCACGCAAGTGCCCGCGTCAACACACGTCAGCGATACGGGGAGCCATTAACACACCTTCCCCTTCGACAGCGACAAAGAGCCGGGAGGCAGCCGCCATTACAGGTCACAGCTGGAGCGAGCGGGACGCGCGGCGGCGACGGTTACCTTCTCCACGAGACTGACAGGCTCTCGGCGCTGCCTTTGCTCCAATTACAACAGGGATTGGAGTTTATCCGATGGGACGTCGTTTGTTGTGTATATTTTTGTGAGTATGAGTTAAGATGTTTTTTAATCTACCAGCTATTAAAAAAATAAAAAGGCTTTTTTTCCCTTCAAAGGGAAAGCGGCTAAGCTGCGCGCCTCCCCTGTGAGGACGCGTGACGTTTTTTTCGCTACGTGTTCTGCGATTGGCGGAGAGCAGACGAGAACGCTCGCGGGAAGGGGGAGGTGAGGTGGGGTGGGCGCGCGCTGCACATTTGTCTGAGAAAGTATCACGCCTAAAAAGCCACTGGAGGTCTAGTGTAAGAGGATGTGTTTTATGCCACACTTTTCATTGCAGCCCGGATTAATGGACGCTGATTAGTGTGGTTCATTTTCGGGTGGTCTCTTGCTTGTGCTGCATTTTTGGAACAGTAATATTTATTAATGTTAATAGTCAGATCAAGCATCAGAATGGTTGTTATTGCCAGATGAGGTAGTTTGAATATTTCAGAAAATGCTGATGTCCTGAGATTTTCACCCACAGCACAGTTTACACAGGATGGTGCAGAAAAAAGTCCTATGAGCGGTAGTAGCGTTGGGGGAAGCATATCGTTGATGAGAGACGGCAGAGGAGAATGGATGGACTGGTTTCGGCTGGCAGGAAGGCTAAAGTGATTTTAAATTAAGTCTTTAGAACAGTTGTAGACAGAAAAGCATCTCTGAGTATGCAAATCGTCAAATATTGAGGTGGTTGGGCTGCAACAGCAGGAAACCACATCCACTCCTGTCGGCTATGAACAGGAAGCTGAAGCGACAGTTAAAGACTGGAAAAATGTCTCCTGGTCTGATGAATCTGTTTCAGCTGTGACATGCAGGTTTTAGGGTCAGAACTGGGTGTAAACAGAATGAATCCATGAACCAAACCTGCGTTGTGTCACCACACACCTTTGTGACAGAGGTTGTTATTAATGTCAGTTGGAATTAAATGCATACCAACCATAACCGAGTTCTGCCTAATAATTCTTAAATATTTGCAAGGTCAATCCATCAAACGGTAAATCCATTTTGCATCTAAATCAAATATTACATAAAATTTATAAAAAAAAATTATTTAAATGGAAAAAAAAAATTATGGACATGAATTATTGTGTCAGATTAAGAAATGTAGGTAGTATAATTCTTGGGAAAGTTTAAGGCATTCAGTCATCACAAAAATGAACATGTCATCGAAGAGCCTTAATACTATGACAGAAGATGAGATTTCTGGAGGAATTCTGTCTATATGGTTACTTGGACTTGGTGATGACTAGACTGCACCTAATATAAAAAAAGTTTAAGACCTGTACAAGTGAAAACCATGGTGATATGTGAGTGCCCAGCTAATGATTTCTGGACTCCGGGAAGGGAGTTCATAAAGATACCTCATTATTAGATATTAAACTTTACATTAATTCTTCACATTTTCTAGATGACATACTTTTGAACATTAATTTTAACTTTCCAGTTGGACATAAAGAGATGTCAATAACAACACAGCACTGCAGCAAAATAAAAGCTTTTTATTTTATTATTTTTTTGCCATTTAAATATAAAACAGTTATCACCAATGTACAAAATGAAAAAAGTGATGGTTGGTTGGAGAGAAGGATGATGAAACACTTCCCTAAAATTCTCAACAAGAGCTAAAATGCTCCAAAGCCTTAAAGTTTACATGTGTACCTCTTTCCTATCACTGCAGTAGTCTTAAAATCCACACTGTTGCCATCACCATCAGAACCAGAACTAACCCAGATTAAAGAAAATGTTCACAGCATAGGAACAATGCATACCCTTCATGTTTACAAGGGATATTAAAGATTCATGGGATTTATGATACTGCTCTCCTGGTCAAACGTTATTCCCTCCAGCGTGGTGTACACCCCATGCTTCTTCACATTAGCTGACCCTTGTTGACCCAAAGAGCATATGCACTTGTGTTTTTAATTCACAAAACTGTTTTAGCTACACGAACATGCCCACCAGTGTAAGACGTCTGGAATCAACTGCAGTTATTTGTTGCATAGTGTTAAAAGCTGCACTGAGACATTGCAGCAGTTCCTGTAGGTGTTTCTGGCTGAACTGCACTGCACACAGTGTACTGTACATATTTTTTTTTGTACATGGAATGACTTGCTGGGTTTTTTTTTTTGTTACAGCTGATGCATACACTCAAATTCATATAAGAATGAAGATTCCTGTCCTTAGATATTGCTCCTAATAAATTCACAATCTGCTTGCTTGTGCTCGGATTCCTTCGGACTTGTGCTTTGTCTGGGAGTCAAGGCACGGCGACTTCTGCCCCATGTCTGACTCACGCCTTACACTCCAGGAAAACACGCGACCGCAACTCACACAGTCTATGTCAAGCTAAAACCATCCCAGAATATCTGGAGCACACCCTCAACCCCTAACGTGGAATGACGGTAATGTAAAGGTGAAAGATAAGACAGAAAATTAGGCCCGGGTCTAGTCTGAAGCAGAATGACCAGGCGAGAAGCACCCAGAAATTACAGGGGTTGTGCAGTTCAGCATTTGCGAGTCTGTACATCATGGTAAAACAAACCTGTGAACTTGAATTTCTACTCAAAGCTCAAATAGGAACGTTAAAAGAACCCTACACTGCTAAAGGTAAAGACGTCCCACAATCTTAAACATCTCTCTAAATATTCTTAATTATTCAATATAGACTATTTTACATGACAAATGCATACACATACAACATATCTTTTCTTAAATAAGGAAAGGAAAAACAAGCACCTATACAGTCTACAATGTCTACAATTTTCCCTTGAACCCAGAAGAGTTGTTACTGAGTTTCAGTGGATATCAGAAATATCAACAGCATTTTCTATGTTTTCACCTGTTTGAAACTATGGAAAGAAGACAACTTTAAATTCTGCAAAAACATAAATGGTTAATTACAGCCTGTGGTTGAACAAAACAGCTGTTTAAGCAGAGCACCCACTGTTGGAGAGGTTATAGTACGGCATGTTGCCAATCATTACATCACACACTATTTTGAGTCATTCAAAAATAATTATACATAATAGAAATAATATACCACCAAAGTCCTTTTGGCTCTTTCCTCTTCTTCTGGTTGATTATAGGGCTTCCACATTCAAAACAAAAAATTAGGCTGTATGTGTGATTAGCAGACCAGTTTGTATTGTCTTTAGATATAGGCATTGAAGGTGAGATCAAACGAAAAATATTATCTAGCCAAAAGATGGCACAGTTTGGCAAATTACTGACTCCAGACAGAGGAATATCCCCCTTTTTTGCACTGGGTTTGACCTGAGCCCAAATATCCCTTTCCAAGCATAATTCCACAGGGTCTCCTTGTTCTCAAGCTGTATTCATCCATTACTCACACCCAGGGAATTCCTGTTCGCAGCAGACACTGTCCCTGAAGGACCTGCTGGACCAAACAAATTCTTGACGATTAACCACACAATACAGTTTGATCCCTGGAGGAGACACTTGATGCATGGACTTGGAGAAGCACCATATCCAACAAAAAATAAACTCACTTCAGATCTCTCTTCTTCAGAACAATGAGTGCTTATGCTTGGATGAAGGAGTGTTGGAGACCGTCAAAAGCACCAAGTAAACAAATGAAGGTGTTTCTCCAGTGTTCTATACAGATGAAAGTGAAAGACCAGTCCAACTACACAATTAAATATTCTCAGTAATGCAGAAATGTGAAAGTGATGCGAAAACAAATAAAACTACATGGTAATGGTATATGTTCAGTAATTCACTAAATTCACACATTTATTCAATATATAGTAAGGCACTGACACCCTACAATCGCAATGGTGCTGGTTACATGTTCATACTGGATCTTCCAATGTTTCTTTGGGTTTTAAGTTTTATTTGAAATTGCGACTGACGTTAGTCATACCAATCTCTTTTTTTGTTACCAAATTATTTCAAAGGATCAGGCACCAGTTGGGGGGGGTCAGCAGAGACTGACTGACACCTGTCCCATTTGCCCGGACAAGTGAAACTGCCCCCCGTTTTGAGATGCCCCGTTTTGATTACCAACGATCATAGTAAATTACATTTATAAATTAAAGCCATACTATGCACTATGCTTTAGCATCCATGCAAAATGCAGTGTCAGATACCTTTTATGTCTATAATCACTGAAGATGCCTTATTTGTAAATAAGCAACATAAAAATGTTAAGACTGGTTTGTGAGATTGAGTTTCAGTACAAAACCAAATTGTATCACAGGAACCAAAGTGAGTTCAAACTTAGTGTTTTGACTAGTAAAGTGCTTTAAAATTTTAGAGCAATATAGTAAAACAATCTCAATTTTATGATGTCTACAGTGGGATCAAAGTGGTATTTTTCATTATTACCATCAGCACAAATAATCATGACTGATATTTTATTTTTTTAAAAAGCATCAGTATTCCTACCTGAAAGCAATGGTAGTGGTCTGTAAACGCTGCCCCGTGCCTCGTTATTTGATTTTCACAATTTCTGGGTTCAGTTACAAGCATCTATTCCCTACGTTTGACTTAAACTACAATAGGCGGAGAAGACAGCTTGGAGGATGTGGCATCCAGGTCATTTAGATTTCTACTGAAGGGCTTCCATGGTACCACAGCTGTCCTGTGTTCTGGTCAGGTAGGTTATAGAAAAACTATCAGTGGCGGGGGGAGATAAGGGTGCCTGAACACCTGCCCCTTTGCCCCACATTTGAGGTTCCGATTGCCCCCCCTAGTCGGTTAAATGTACCGATCACAGGCAAAGTCAAATTTACTGAGGGGGACAAGCGGTTAAGCACCTACCCCTTGAAAGGTCTCTGTGTGGCACTGATGAGGATCGTTTTCATTTATTTCCCACTTAGTCCAATAGGGCTTTTCTAAAGGTTCAGGTATTTATCCTCCAAAGTGTGAATAAAGTGCATACATCGATCACAGAACTTACTCTGCAGCTACGCCCCTTTGGGGTATCACCAATGCCTGTTTTTGTTGTTGTTGTTGTTTACTACAGTGTTTTCACTCCCACCAATCATTCTATGTTCCTTCCTCCTCCCAAACAGGTTATTCACAAATAGGTCAGTCATCCAAATAATTGCGGTCAAGTATAAGGTCAGTCAAGTAATGTTTGCGCAACAGTAAGATGTACAAGTTAAAAACAACTAAGTAACTGCAGTGTCTGACTAAAAATATGTAATATCCACACTTGTAATTATACTACTTTGCAACCCTCGACTCCATTTCACTTAATTGAATCTTGCAGATAAGAATCCCCCCCCACCACAAAAATAAGCTCAACATAAATGCAAAGGAAAAAATGGGAAATATAACAGTACATCCACACATTCGGTAAGGCAAGGTTCTCTCCTCATCTCCTGATGAACTTGACTTTGCGTGAGTTTCGACCGATGCCTTATTCACTCACACACAGTGTGGATCGACCGCTTCATCCGTCAGACGACGCTTGGGACGACACAGATTACACACACTTACATAAAAAGACACAGTTTGCAAGTTAGTCCGCCTGAGTCTGTGTAGTGTGACACCTGAATGACTAATGTCCATGTTCAGGATCATAAGGATGATGACGCGTGCTCTGTTCACACGTCAAGATTCCTTTAAAAAAAGTCCTGGGTTTGCCTCCCTCTCGAAGAATCCGCAGAACGAGCTTGTGTGTGCTTACAGGCACGCGGAAGCAGGCCGTCACGGCAGGCCTAAAAGGGTCAGAAAAGTAACGACAGGCCAGGAGCCATGACAGGGTACTCAATGAAGATGCTATGGCCGACGGTGATTGGGAAAGCAGTCTCACCTTCATTCCTCTGGCCTTTTTCCTTAGAGGGAACAAAACGGGGGGCAGGGGGGGGGGCATTTAGGAAAAAGAGGGCGGAAGTGATACATAAGTGAGCGATGCTGAATAAGGGAAAAGCAAATGGAAAATAGATGCCCACTGTGCAGGATGTGTGTGGGATTGCCCAAGTGGGAGGAGTGAGTGAGGGAGCCATGACACTCATCTCTATGAACAGAAATGCAAGCTGCCTCCCCCACTACTCCCCCTTTCCTCTTTCCTCCAAGGCCCATCTGCATTCCCCCCCCCCGAGTGTGGCGGCTTCACTGAATCGGGGGCAGGGAGGTTCTGCGCGTGGGCCGACGGGGTGAGAGTGCAGATCCCGATGGGGAGACATGCGCATGTGCACGCGTACATGCTGGGACCACGAAAACCGTGCCGTGCTTGGAATGGCGGTTGGGGGAAGTTGCAAACACCCCCTTCCCAGAGAAGCCCAGAGTTGTCCCCACGCAGTCGGACTTCACATGTTGTAGGCCACGTAGATGGGGTCCAGCTGGTCGGCCAGGAAGGAATCTCTCAGGTGCATGCGCTGCTTCTCGCCCCGGGAGTTGATGGGGATGACACCAGGGTCCACGATGACCACCACCCCCACCACCAGGTGGTGCTCTTCCAGAACCACATTGGTCACCAGTGGCACCAGGTCCAGCGCGTCTTGCTCAGAGCCACAGAGTTCTGACACCACCACCAGGAGATTGGTCCATGTGAAGACGGCACTGCGGGAGGGAGGGAGGGAGGGAGAGAGAGTGTCATCCTCATCATCACCGAGGCGTGGTGGAGGGGCGGCTTGTTCATAGGAGAGGGGTGCATGCAGACGTCACCTCTCGCCGATGCTGCGGTGAGCGCGTGACACCGACGTCTCAATGTCCACTGGGTGGTAGCGTAACCCCCTCAGCTCCAGGGTCTCGTCCAGGGATCCCACCACAAACAGAGCATCATGACGTTCTAAGGAAATAAAGGCCACAACTGAACCATTCTATTCCTTTACTGCTCTGCTCTGTTACTCAATAACTTCACCAGATTCATAGTTCTTACAATTGACTAACAAGAGCGACAAAACTTACACTTTACTCATTTCACACAACCTTCTCTCATTATAAGCGTGACTAGACGACACCTTCCTTTCCGAAGCTGATGTTTCACTTCATAGCTTTGCAAGTAGTTTCAGCTAATTTTTCCTTCACTAAGACTTGCGGTACTTTTAAAACTGTTGTTGGTTCAGCTCATTGGCACTTCAAGTGCCCCTGATTAGTCTGTGTTTGTGAAATACTATTCAAAATTCTGCTACCATAACCCTCTGGGGTCTAGGGCAGGGGTCTCCAACTCCGGTCCTGGAGAGCTACTATCCAGTAGGTTTTCTATCATACCCAGCTTCTGATGAGCCACACCTGTTCTCAGGTAAATACCAGGAGCAGGTGTGGCTCATCAGAAGCCAGGTAGGATAGAAAACCTACTGGATAGTAGCTCTCCAGGACCGGAGTTGGTGACCCCTGGTCTAGGGGTAGGGAACACATTTTCACTGACTGGGGCATGATCACACATTTCTTTCAATATCATAAACTTAATTCATGGCAAATAAATTGTGTCATATTTGTTTTGGCATTACATTCATCTTAATTTTAATGTATATTGTAAATATGTCAATTTATTTTAAGTTTGTAATCTGACATCAAAGTATAGACATTGCAAAATGCAGTTTGGAATAATTGCAGAAACATTACAAAAGTACATAGTAAGCAATGGTTTGATCCCAGATATCTGATCACCAAAGTCTTGGCTACATGAAGATGACTTAATGGTGTAGTTGCAAGATTCTGTTGGATAAGTAAATAAGAAAAAGCTAACTCATGTCACTATTTCTGGCCTCCTTCCATTGAATATGTAGGAGCTCTCATGTGTAAGCATGAGCCATTTACAACTGGCCACAACCCCCCCCCCCTTTTATGGTGCTGATGGGGATGTATCTGGATCGCGGTTCACCGTTGTGGTGTTCATCAAATTACCATGCAAATGTGATTTGAATACGCGCTAATGCGGCTATTTATAATGTGAATAGCGATCTTCGGGTGAGAGCGGTACTACACGCCCCCGATGCAGGTGAAACAAAGTAAGGTGACATGGTTTACTTTTTTGCCGATTTAATAAACTTTAAAACTTTAAAAACTGTAATACTTCTGACAATGGACGTTTTGAAAAGAAGACAGATTACAGATTTAGTCAGGTTTTTTTTTTCATGATTCTACATAAAAATTTAGGCGAGATATAAAATGAAATAGACACAAATGAAATACGCTGCATCGCCGACGATGTGCTCGTCCCCAGAGGGTTAACCGCTATGCCACCTACAGGCTACGTTCTACCATCCAACCATTCAAACTTCACACTCTCATCCCACTGACCTCCGCTGGCATCTAACAGCTCTGTCCTTCTGACAAAGCCCAGGTAGCCAGTACGGGCCCACAGCGTTTGCGGGTCACCAAAGCTCAGCCTCAGATTGAAGTGGTCCGCCTGCAAGTTCTCCTCGCCGTAAATGGTGTAGTAGCCACTGGCACTGTGGGGACTGTTCACCCAGATCTGAGACCGGGGGCAAGGGGAGATGGGTTAGACAGTACAGTAGGGGGGCACTGTAGAGCACAGCAGGATCCTTGGGGGGGGGGTACAAAAAGAAGCCCAGGTACTAACCCATAGACGTCACTGAACCGTACTCACCTCTCCAAGATGGGAGTCTCCCAGTGGACCCTGCGTCTCTGGATTCACTATAACCACACGCACTCCTGGGAGGATCTGGAGGCATGTAAAAAAAAAAAACACACACAACCCAACTGGATATCAAGTCAATGAATATGGGTCACTGTTCAGCAAGCTGAGGAATGTGTTCAGACAAATCAGTGGAAAGTAGCGGTGAATTCTGGGTATAACATGGCCACCGGCACCAGGGTCACTCCCTGGGAGACTCACCGTGCCCGATTCCATGAGCGGAAGGCTCTGGGGGGCGCCGCGCTCCACCAGCCGCACCCTGGAAGACACGCGTCACGGTCAGTACCTTCTATTCACCCTATGTTAAACCCCCCCCCTCCCATCCCATCCCATGTTGCCCCACCTGTCGTGCCGAAGGGATTTCATGTCCACATAGACAGTGGAGGGATCAGGTCCAGTGGTGCCCTGGTGAAAAGACATAGAAGAAACAGTGTCATTGTACCTGGGACTGGCATAGCTGGAGTATTTAAGATGGGGTTAGCAGAGTGGGCTGATTAGAGTGGGAAAGCAACAGTGTCCGGTGAATCACAGCATGATGCAGCAACCGGCCGGCACCTACCTGCAGACAGATGGCCAGATTGACGCGCGAGCTGAAAGCCGTACTGACAGCACGTGAGGACAGGCCCAGGTCCTTAAAGAGCTTAGAGAAGGACTGGGTGAGCGCCAGGCGGGGGCGCTCCTCAGCGACCACCACGCAGCTTCGCACGCACGTCAGGTTCACGCCGCGGGCCTGCGCCGGACAAGGAGAGGACAGGTCGGGTCGAGCCGAGATGAGATGGCGTGGTGCTGCCCTGCCAAATTTCTTCCGCCTGCCAGATTCCTTCTGCCTGCGACGTATCGCGACGTATCGCTCAGCTGTTAGACCGATAGTGCAATCGTGATCTTGCAGTTTCAAGGTACCCTGAAAGTTTCACGCTCACCCTTACCGCTGCGGCAAGTTCGCATCAATAAACTTTATTTGCTAACTCATTTTTGTTTAGTTCGATAGTATAACCAACATGTTTTGTTAGTTTATTCATGTTTATTTAGCTTGAGAGCAGTAAGTTTTATTGATTACAACTGCATATTTAGCTCGATAGCAACGTTTATTGCCGGTTATTACTTATATAAAATACGTTCACAAATTTTTTAAAGGGTGTGTTAATAATTTACATTTACATTTAACTTGATAGTATAACCAACATGTTTTATTAGATTAGCAATGTATATTCCAATCAATAGTGAAATGTTTTCTTAACTGGTATGATTTTATTACCTCAAGAAATCCACATTAGTTCAAACAGTGATTATATTTTATTGATTATAACTCTAGATTTAGCCGGTTCAGCAATTATTACTTTGATAAATCTACAATATTAGGGATTTTACTTTGCCAATAAGCATTTAATTGCAGGCCTAACTATTATTACTAAAGAGCTGAACATACGTTAATAATGTAATACAATTTAATCTAATATACATTAATAATCTAATAAAACACGTTGGTGAGACTATTCTTATCGAATATGCCATTAAAATCGATAAAACATATCGCTATTGAGCTAAATATCATTAACTAGTAAAACATGTTGCTGTACTATCAAGCTAAATGCTAAAGAGTTCTTAATAAAAACACACTTTTTTAAAAACATTAGTAAGCATAGTTTATTGATGCAAACTTGCCGCAGCGGTAAGGGTGAACTTGAAACTTTTAGGGTACCTTGAAACTGCATCACTGCATTTGCATCATCGGTCTAACAGCTGAGCGATACGTCACAGGCGGAAGGAATTTGGCATGACAGCGCCATGCGCATAGTAGGGGTGTAATGATGCAGTCTCACAATATATTCAACAAAATTAGGCTGGAAAACTAAGATCTCACATTTCTTATTTACTCTTTATTAGGCATGTATGTTTTAAAAAAAGCTCTCTTTTTTCCTTGCAGTTTTGCCCTTATTCTGCAGGACTCCAGTGCAAAATGCAAAAATAAAATCTCAAGGGAAACAGATTATGACCCACCTGCATTATCATTAATGAATGATTTCGTGGCACAGTGCATCGTTACACCCTTAGTGCATACCTGTCCGCCCCACCCACCTTGAGTGCCTCCGTCTGGGTGCCCAGGCCCTTGGTGCACAGCTCCATGACGGAGTAGGAACAGAATGTGTCCCGGATGCGGTACTGGCTGAGAGAGCCGAGCCAGAGGGGTAGTGAGGTCTCCAGCTCCTGAGGGGGGATCAGGATGGACTGGTGCCCAGAGTAAACACTGCATGGAGGGACCGGGAAAAGGTGGAAGCATTATCTATCCATCCATCCATCCATCCATCCACCCTTAACAGGGAGCCTATTCCATGCAGAAAAGGGTACATGCAGGAATATACCCTGGGCCAAAGGCCAGTCCCTTGCAGAACACATGCATGCACACCCCCTACTGGCTATTTAGAGACAGCAGTTAGCCAATCAGTTCTGTGGAAACCAGAGAACCCAGAGGAGATCTGCAAATGCCTGGCTCTGGATATGTGAGGCCACAGTGCCACCCACTGAGCCTGGCATAATTCACCCATTCATAGTAAGCCAGCACTGCAGTGGACCCACAAGGAAGATCAGATCCTGACTGAAAAGTTCAACAGCATGTCCTTGCTCACATGCGTCAGTTTACCTGCAGAGGCACCAGAGCACAAAGCCCAGGCCGCAGTAGGGATCCAGGCAGATGGCGATTTGCCGGGACGAGTAGAGCTCGCACTGAAGCTTGATGGAGCGACACAGGGCGCTGACGGCAGCGTGAGAGATCTGGAGGGTGGAGCAAACCTGATTAGTGCAAAACGAGACCAAACAGATTAGCATAGGGCTGGAACTGGAGGGGTGGCTTACTTTGACCCCTGTCAGCATCCCTGTGGTGGACACACTGAAGTCTAGGTAGGCCAGCATCTCCGCAGTGGGGGGTTTGTAGATCTGGGGAGGGCGTTTTCGTGGAAGGTCGTCTGTGGGGGAAGGGCTCAGTCAGTGAGCTGACGTGGGGGCGGACACGCACTTGGACAGCTGGCAGGAGTCGCTTACCTGTGTCTATGATGGTCGGCCATGTTTTTATGTTGACAGCTGAGGCGGCCTCTTTGGAGCGAAGGGTCTTCATGAGGGTCTGCGTAGTGAGGATGCAGGCGGCCTTGCTGACCTGGGATCAGTACAGGGGAAAGGGGACAGCATGGGGATCTTATTTTAGCAGGATGTCACATGACAGCACAAAGAGGCAAGAAACACCTGGATGCACGGGGACACACGCAGAGACACGTGCAGGGACACACGCAGAGACACGTGCAGGGACACACGCAGAGACACGTGCAGGGACACACAGAGACACGGGCAGGGACACACAGAGACACGGGCAGGGACACACGCAGAGACACGGGCAGGGACACACAGAGACACAGGCAGAGACACAGGCAGAGACACGGGCAGAGACACGGGCAGAGACACGGGCAGAGACACGGGCAGAGACACGGGCAGGGACACACAGGCAGGGACACACAGAGACACACATGCAAGGACACACACAGGGACACGTGGGTGCTTACGTCAATGATCATGCGGACAGTAGGCAGCGTGGCTGACAGGTTCTGTGGATGGGGGGGCCGCACTGTGACTGGGACACAACCGGCATACAGGCAGCCGTAGAAGGAGGCGATCAGATCGATGCCTGCGGAGAGGAGGTGAGGACAGCATGAGTGACAGCAGGAGGCAGGAAGCTGGAACCTGCTGTCATCAGGAAACACTGTGCTGCCATCAAAACACAGTCAAAAACGCTACTGCTGCAGAACCACGGATCGTCCCCTGGAGCCTGCAGGAAAACGTCTGTCTCCCTGTGAGGACGAGGTGCAGGGGCTGGAAGGGCTCACCGGGCGGGTAGAGCAGGACCACGTTGTCGCCCGTGTTGAGGCCTCGCTCGGAAAGGGCCCCTGCGATCTTCTCAGCACGTTTATGCAGCTGGATGCATGTGGCTGTGCAGACAGCGACGCCCTGGCGAAGAGCACGGACAGCAATAAAAGGATCAAGGTTAGAGTATACTGCCACCTGTAGGTAACACAAGAGTGTGCATCACTTTACCATTAACAAAATCTCAGATTTAGTGGTAATGTAAATTATTATTATTATTAGGGCTGTCAAAATTAACGGGTTAATGCGGATTCATCCATCATCATGATTAATCTGATTAAAATTTTTTACGCAATTAACCCATCTGCAGCGCAGAATGACTCAAAATCCCTGAAATGTCTCTGTCAACCCATTTCGGGCAGTTTTGGTGCGTTCCATTTGCCCTCGGAACTCGTATTCCGCGTTGTATTCCGGAGTTTTGAAGCCTGAAGTGACAACATACGCGCTCCCGTTTCTCGGAGATCCGAGAAATATCTCGGAGCAGCACAGAGGATCCCAAGTTCAGAATCCAAGATGGCTGCGCCTTTTATCAACAGAAGGGAAAGTTGTAGTTTTATACTGTTTAAGCACTACTTCTCATTTGTGGCTCATTAAATCGGTCGCACACATTATACCGTTCAATTTATCTGTGGACGTGTTGCTACGGAGTTTTATATGTAAAGCACCGCACATAATGTGTTAACTGATATTGCTAACAATGGCAATTAACCGGGCTAGAACTGGATTTCATGATTAATCGGATTATTTGTCGGATTTATGGTAGTTCGGGCTAATTGTAAGCGAACAAAGATAAAGGCCATTTAAACTGAGGTACCTTAAATACAACAAGTTGTCCGGCTAAGCAAAAAATCTTGCTTTTTGATATGGGTCCATGGTCTTGCACTTCTGTTGCAGTTGGAATGCATCCGACTCGTGTTCAAGATGTTCAATAAACATGTTAAGTGCATGTATATTCCCTTTTTTCTTGAGTCTGTTTGCTCATGCAAAATGAATTGTGATTAATACAGATTAAAAATGAATGATATTTAATCGTAATTAATCTAAATTAATCCACAGCAACCCAGTGATTAATCTAATTAAAAATTTTAATTGTTTGACAGCACTAATTATTATTATTATTATTATTATTATTAAAACTTTTAGATTAATAGTCACATTTTGGTGACGCTACGTTCTGTTACTGAAAGAGAGATGGAGAAAGAGGGAGAAAAAGAGAAAGAGGCCACCTGAAAGTGGGGCCTCAGTTGAGTGTCTCTCTCCCTTCATAGTTCACCTTAGCATTGAGGAGCACGAACAGGGTGTGCTCCGGGTCCGTCTGGGCTCTCCACTGCAGGGCCTCGGTCAGGAACTGGTGCTGGGGGACCGGGACAGGTGGCCAGTGAACATACACACACAGCCACACATCATCACCCTGGGCAACAGAGTCCATATGACTAACCACATGCTAACATGGGTTTGGGAAAGTCTGGATTTCAAGCAGCAGGTGAAGATGGAGGAGAACATATGACTTATTCAAAGTGCTTGGGCTGCTTCTGCCCTCTGTCAGCTTAATTTTCAGGCTCTGACTCGGCTACAGAGTTACAGATACACAGCGAGCCGTGCCTGAATAAAACTGGTACAGGCCATTTTGACTTCAATACGTGCTCACTTTCTATGTGGGAATCTTGCTCCTTTTACCATCCAATCAGCAAAACAAGTGAAATCTGAATGCCGAGAAAGTGACTTCTGTTGTTTAGAGAGGTTAGATCAGGGGTGGCCGCTGTGTATGCGGGTTTTCACTGCAACTCCCTAATTAGATTACTAATTAGAGGACTGATTGGCTGAGGAGTCCTCACACCTGGGTTTGAATAGCTGACCTACAGGTTAACCCAAAAACCTGCATACACACCGGCCCTTTGTGGATGAGATTGCCCACCCCTGGGTTAGATTGTCGGAAACCCATTTAAGAGTTTGGCCTGCCGTTCATAATTACCAGCCATAATTGCAGAATAACAAACAGTTCAATTATAATCAGAGCTTTCACTGCAAACCGAAAGGTCTGGTTTCAAAATGGCCTCCGACAAAACAACAGAACAAATGGCACAATGTACACATGCAGCCTTAAAGAAATGGAAGCAGGGTCAAAGACAGCCAAAGGGGGACTGGAGAAAACCCACACATAGAAGGGGCCAGAATTTACATGCAAGGGGGGTTCCCCACAATCGACGCAGCACAACAGAAGGCTTCATCCCTGCTGTCTTCCATGAAGGTCCCCCCCCCCCCCCCCGGTACATGCAGGTGGCCACCTCATGCTGCACCATGCAGGGCCACTGAGCAGCAGCACTGCTTCTGGGACGCAGATGAACGGGGGGCACAGGGAGCCCACAGACCAGCTTCCTTATTGTGCTGTGCTGTTGCTCACTGTCAGTTCCTGCCCATTTAGAAAGGTTCCCCAATCAGCCTCTCACACAATCAGACCCCAGGCAGTGTGCAGGGACCCGTTCATCTCGTACACGTGTGAATTTCCCCCTGGCATCAGTACAGTATAGCTTATCTTATGTAACCTGATCGCACTCCATGTCATGAAGCCCCCACACCAGGGGTGTATATAGGGGCGGGGCCACAAGAGCACCAGCCCCCAGCTGAAAGCTGATTGGCCCTCAGAGTGCCTTCTCCCCTGTCACACACCAATTCAAAGTGTATCATTGGCTAATGCAGTGTTTCTCAACCGGATCCTTGGGATCCCCCAGACAGGACAGTGACAGTGGATTGCCTGGGGGTTGCCGAGGACGACGTTGAGAAACACCGCGCTAATGATAAGGCTGGCCCCCACTGTGCTCCCCACCTAGAACTGCCCCTGCTCCACACACCTCTCCCTGCTGCTGACCGTCTATTACCCCACTGTCCAGCCCTCGTGGGACATACCCCACCACACAAACAGGGCATTAACTATCCACCAACAAGCTCCTACCAAAATTATGCAAATCTGCCTCAACTGTTCTATTGTGCTGGAATTTCATCATACATTATGTTGGCATTTCAATATACGATTTCACATATTGTGATTCATCACAAGTTATAGTTAATCAATAAATCCAGGGGTTAATTAAGTGGAACCCAGGTGGAAGAAGGGAAAGGGCAGGGGTCAGCGCACGACATGTGACAGAGCAGCACAGCAAAGTCGCCGATTTCAGGTCTTACCATCATGGTAGGCCACATACACAGCTGCGTCCAAAGGACACAGGTAAACAAAGACAGAAGAGAGGGACTTTTAGAAATGTGATCCACACAACAGGGTTTCACTGACTCACGGTGACTCCACGCCGACTCCATAAAGACTCCACAATGACTCCACAGAGACAATGCTGGACTACACCAACTGACAGGCTGAGAGACAGTATCACTGACATTTTAAACAACGGCCACATAGACTAACAGACAAAAGGTCTTGGCAAGTTGACTGACTAACAGGCAAACACAGGGTCGCTCCTGATGGGACAGTGAGATGGCTCGCCTTACCTTTCTAACTAGGTCTTGGTCTTCGATCAACCCCAAGTCTCTGCCGGATGCCTGCGCAATTCTCTTCCCGGCCACTAGGTTACCAACCAGGATGGATGCGGGTCCGACTCCCACTGAAGGAGCAGAAGCTGGAGTGAGACGGGCAGAAGGAACGCGCTTCCAGACATGCAGAGGCTCCACAGCAGATGGGCCGGCTTCAGGCCGGAGACTGACGCCCCCACCTGGCTGCTTCTGACGCGGCTTGGGTAGGTTGGTGACGCAGGTGTGTGGACACATGAGGATGTTGCAGGGGTGCAGGTTGCCCTCTAGGAAGCGCTGCTTGGTCTCAGCCACATGGATTCCGCCCAGGGGGGTCTTGGGAAGGGTGTTTGCAGGGACCAGAGCCAGGCAGTAGAGCCCCACCTGATGAATACTATCGACTGCCTGTGGAGATGGTGGGTGATGCTTCAGGACAGAACCTCACACGTAAGGTTAATAGAGGAATCCATGCAGCGGAAGGTAGACGGGCTGGGGTACAACGCCTGGGGTCACCTGCAGGACTCTGCTCATCCACTGGAAACTGTCTTCCTCGCTGGCCTCGGGTCTCTGCTCGGCTACGATCACGATCCTCTCGTCGTAGAAGACGCTCACGGAGAAGACGGCGATCCTGACAAGCACACAGCAGCTTCATCATCGGACACTAGGTGGCAGTGCTGCCCATTGTAGAGGACACACGTGTCAGCCACTAAATACTCGGTAACTGAAGAGCGGGCAGATATCTGCCAGGTGACATAGGAATGTGGCCTTGCCGTGGAGCAGCCTTACAAACGACGCTGAACGTGTCATCGCCCTGTCAGGACAATCACCCACGAGCTCAGTTTACACCGTTGCCATGTGACCACAGACCTTCCCTCTGTTAAGCATTAATGATCCCGTTCCAGCTTCCTGTCAGAGTGTGAATAAACTGACACCCCTCTCAAGCTGTTGGCAACACGAGGACACACTGAAACTGAGACGCGAAGCATCACACGGCATGTAAGATACCGCCGCACTGGGCTTCCTGGGCGCTCCTGCCGCCGTCCCGCGCAGTGAGTAGCTGCCATCAGCCTACCTCCCGCGGTACACAGTCTTCACCGGCTCCACTGCCAGTGCCGTGGCCACCAGGTCATCGGCGTTGTGCCGCCGGCCGCTCACCATCAGCAGGCCCTCGTTCTTCCCCACCACGAACACCAGGCTGCCCTGTGAACGAAGCACAGGCTGCGTGGGCACACAGAACATGTGGCACCGGGAAAGCTGAGAATGGCGGCCTGCCCTCCCGGGGCCCCTGCTTACCGGCCCCACAAAGCCAAGGAGACCGGTGCGGATGAAGGGAATCTCTCCAATGGGCGCCCCGCTGGAGTTCACCGGGATGACCTGCAGAGAGACGGACAGACGGATGTCATGGGTCATGGAGAACAGGAAGCTGGGAGATTGGGCCAGGAGGGTGAGGACACTGGCAACCGGCATTATATGGGACTGGAGATGTTTAGGGTCAGACCAGCCCATATGAGGAGAGCAGAGAGTCCGGGCACCCAGGGTTCCGTGAACCACGCACCTCGAAGGTGTTCTTGGTCACACCAGGAAGGCCATAGTACATCGTGCCTCCGGCTCGCGAATTCACCACGATCTCGCCGATCTCGTCAGTCTTGCAGAGCTGCGGAGGTCCGTCAGGCTTCACGATGCACATTAGGGCTTTGGGGTATGGAGGCAGGGCATAAGTTTAGACACACCCACTACAGGAGGGACGAAAACACAGCTCGTGGCCCCGCCCCCTCACCTCCCGGCATGACGTGGCCCACATCCTGCACGGTCAGCGCGGAATTCTTGTCCTCTGTGTTGACCCTGATGACGCCGTGGCTCAGCCCTCCCATGGACAGGATGGCCCGAGCGGGCAGAGGTGCCCCAGGGATCCCGGGCCTGCATGCAGAGTGGTGAGCTCACAGACGGCCCTCTCATCACGAGACAGAGCAAACGGCACATCACAGCAGACACAAAGAGGGCCTGACACTAACAGCATTAAGTGGTACAGGCATAATCCCAGCAATCAGTGAAATATAGAGGAGATGATAATGGAGGACAGGACGTAGAGGGACTGGGGGGAAGAGGAGGAGCAAGAGAAATGGCGGGACAGGGGACAAGGCATAGGGGGACAGGGGAGAAGAGGAGGATAAGCAAGACAAAAATGGAGGACAGGGGAGAGGGATGGGAAATAAAAGGAGGAGCAAGACAGAAATGGAGGACAGGGGAGAAGAGGAGGACTGGGGAGAAGAGGAGGACACCCCATATGGGGACAGCACTGTGGGGGCACGGGGCTGACCTGCGGATGGCCACCGTCATGGCCTCGGGGGAGCTGGCACAGGGGCAGATGACCTCAGGCTTCAGGCCATGGCTTTGGAAGACGCTGAGGAAGGCGTCGCATGACGACACGGACCCTGCCGGACAGAGAGGGGAGGGTGAATCTCACTGGAAGAGGAAGCGCGGAGAGGCCGCACTCAGGCAGGAGTCACTCACAGGGGTTGGCCCCATCCGCCACAATGAGCATGCGCAGCGAGGCCAGGCTGATCTCCCGCTGCTCCCGGTGGGCCATCATGGCCCAGTGCAGGTCCCGGCACTTCACCAGCGCCACACCGGCTGCGGGGAGGAGGAACACGGCTCACGTTCAGGTGCAGCTCCCTGCCGGGGCTCCACACGGCCTCCTGCCCTCAGCCCCACCTTCCCCCCGCTCAGTGACACAGCAGAATCATGCTTGATTTGCATGGAGCCCCTTCTGATGGTAAAAACATGCCAGGGGCTTTTAACAGCCTGGGCGAGCGAGCGCATGAGCGCACAAGCGCACGAGCACGCACGCGTGCACACACACACACACACACGCACGCACGCACGCACGCACGCACGCACGCACGCACGCACGCACGCACGCACGCATATTTGTATTCATATCTTTGTCGGGACCACCCATTCGTTTCTATGGGCGAAACCCTAATCCCAACGATGACGACCATAACCCCTATCCAGCCCTAACCTTAACCGTAAGTAACCTAACAAAATACAAGACTTTTGGCATTTTTATTTTTTTGATTGCAGTCACAGATTTTAGAAAATTGAGTTTCCCCATGTGAGGACCAAAAAAATTGTCCCCACGACATCAAAATGACAGGTTTTTATCACATTGTGTGGACATTCAGTCCCCGCAACATAACGTAACGCATCATAACGTAACATATTGTATCGTAACGTAACACATGCATGCACTTTCGGTGCACAGCCCACAGCCAAGCCCTAAATACACTCATTCCCATGGTCCCCCAGTCCCCCCAGTACAGCAACAGAGAACACTGGGAGACGTCATCACACCTTTGTGGATGTGAACTCTCTGAACCCAGGACAGCGGGCAGGCCTTCATCACTGCGTACGGGACGCTGACTGCGTGGATCCGATTCATGACGCTCTGGAGGGTGTGAGACAGACCGGAGGGGGGGGGGGGGTGTGAGAGGGGCTTCACCACGACAGGAGGGGCCGGCAGGGAGGGCTGAAGCCGGACTTACCGTGAGAACGCCGTGCCACAAGCCCATGTCCTTCTTAAAGTCTAGCACATTGATCAGTGTTTCCCCTGGGTGAACACAGAGCAGCTTTTTATTAAAAAAAATAATAATCAGCACTTACTCTGATCGAACAGCAGGGGGCACAGGCACAGTCTAAACTCAGCTCCAAACATCAATGAAGCAATTACTGACCCAAAACACAGGCTGCTGACACACTACCGAAGCACTCCAGCCATATTCTGTCTTCTAAGCACAACCCTACTTGTCCCCACATCTTTGTTTGAATGAAAATAAATTATATTTGCTTCACACCGGGGAGTGCGTTTAATTGATCTTGAAGGTCCCCATGACTGTGTGGTGTGTGTGTGTGTGTTGGGGGGGAGTGGTGCTCTGAAGCAGCCTCATTCAGGTAAAGCTCTGTAGCTTCCCCACTTTTAGCCATTATGGCTCCATACTACATGGAAGTGAAACAGGACGGAGAGGCAGGAACACACCCGGCCCAGAGGGGCACTGTCTGCTTCTGAGCAAACAAAATAAGTTAAACATCTGAGCGAGTCACAATAAGTATTGTAAAAAGAGGAGGAGAGAAAAAGGCCAGCTTTAAGAGCACTCTGGTTACTGTGCACCATTCCCTGAACGTCCAATCGGCAGCGAGACCCGTCTGTTGAGGGGTTACGATGAGCAGCAGTATCCCAGGCCCTCCACCCAGCGCTGAGGTCACAGCCACTGCCAGGGACTCACCCTCGCTGTAGTTGCAGGCCTGTGTCAGGGCTTGGCAGTGGGTCAGCATGGCTAGCTTGGACACGGCCACGCCCATCACTGTGCCCTCCTTGCTGGCTTTGTACTGCAAGCAGGATGCAGAGAGGCCTGAGTTATTATATACACACGCTGACTCACAGCGCCACAGACGTGGGAGCAGGCAGGGACACGCAGGCCGTTAATCTGAGAACAGGGCTCACCTCGATGTAGGCGATGTCATTGTTGGCAGTCGGAATGTGAGGCTGCCAGTCTTTGGAGGGCTTTGTCAGGTACTTGGAGTCAGTTACCACCCACTTCAGCCGTGGCCAACCTTACAGAACACAGAAGACAAGAAGTCTTACCATGAGCTGCTCCGAAGGCATCAGAATTGGTCTTGAGAAGAACCAACCTGCAAAGAGCTGCTAAAACACAGCTGTGACTCAAGTACAAGTTCGCCACTAATCACGGCCGTGACTCAAGCAGAAATGCACCACCAATCACGGCCGTGACTCAAGCAGAATTTCACCACCAATCACGGCCGTGACTCAAGCAGAATTTCACCACCAATCACAGCCGTGACTCAAGCAGAATTTCACCACCAATCACGGCCGTGACTCAAGCAGAATTTCACCACCAATCACAGCCGTGACTCAAGCAGAATTTCACCACCAATCACGGCCGTGACTCAAGCAGAATTTCACCACTAACCAGAGCTGAGAGTTGATCAGAACTTCACCACCAATCACAGCTGTGACTTGAGCAAAAGTTCAGCACCAATCAGGGCTGAGACTCAAGTAGAAGTTCATCGGTACTCACGACTACTGACCTTTGAACTGCATTATCTCGCCGTTGGGGGTCTTGGGCAGCCCCTTGAGGCACACCTCACTTGTGAGGGCCAGGCTGACCCCACAGCTGCCCAGCAGAAAACCAATCTGTTGGCTTCCTGCATCCTGGGGGAGGGAAAAATACCAACGTAAAGCTTCAGGAAGTAAAACTTGGAGCACAGGGTGCTACAGCATGAAGAATCATCTGAACACCAGCGATCTTTAACTGTCAGAGACTGAATTAAACATCGCTACATGCACTGGGGGGCTGGCCCGGCACAGACCAGGGGGTTTCCCCTACCTTGCGAGACAATGGCACTTCTATTGGCACTGGAATGACCTCTGCCAGCAGGCAGCCATAGAAAGCCACACAGAACATCCCAGGGTCGTTGTTGGGGAACACCAGGGCCACCTGGTCAACAAATACACAGCAGAGCTCAAAACCTGCCATCCTGCCGTTTCACGCTCCCGTTTCTGGCACTGTCTGGTGCACCTGCTGTTTTCTAGCTCCACATGCTTTCCTGGAATTAAATTATTAGTTCTACTTCACATTTTACAGGAAAATAATCAGAATAAACCCTAACTCTACTGCAGGAGTAACGCACAGAAATCCGAGCTCTTAAAGAATATCTCTCCTCTCCTCCCACAAGTAACACCAGCGGCCATTCGGTTTCTCACCCGATCGCCAGGTTTCAGCACCGGCTCTGTCTTAGTGCCCAGCTTGTTGAGAAGTGTGTAAGCCAGCTTCACGCTGCGGGTCCACAGTTTACCTGGGGGGGGCCCAACCACCACAGCCTCAGTTAGCCGTTTACTCCAACATATCTTCACACAAACTCATAAACCAAAAAGGGTATGAAGAAGCCCTTCACCATAAGTCAGGGTGTACAAAGGCTTTCCTGTGATGTCCAGGGTCGTGAGGGCCGGGCTCTTGGCCTGAGTGGCCCCCCACCGAGCCAGGGCTGCCTGGAGGGCCGGGGGCCAGTTACTAACCACGCCCAGAGGCTCTCCCTTCACGGGAATCATCTGACGGCCCTCTGGCCGGGGGGTGTTGGGGTCCGGCTGGGGCACTGCAGGAGTACAGGGAGGACAGAAGCAAGAGGAGAAGATAAAAAAAAAATATATCATCCAAAGAAGGGAAGAGAAGCCAACTGAGCACCTGCCAAGATTTTAATGAATATCAAATCAGAAAAACACAAAGCTTTTGTGACACCCTACACCAGGATATGAACAACAATCAGCCATTACCTCAGCCCTTCCTCATGTGGTACTTAAGAGCCACACGGATTTAACTCATGTCCCGATGTTAATAATAAAATGGGCATAAAAATGTTTTAAAATATTACATTATCTGTTAAAAGTAACGAAAGCCTTTAAAAGTTTAGATTCAGCCTCAAATGCAATAAAAACAAAAATGTAATCTGCCTGACTGTAAACACAATCAGTGTCCATTATGACACAGGTGATTAATTATACCCATTTTGTCCTGTCTGGTGGTCAAATGAGCTTGGTATAGTCAACAGCCACCCCCCCCCACCCACCCACTTACCCTCCACAATCTCCTCTGAGTCGTCCAGGAAGAACTCCCGCAGAGGGGGCCGCTTGGGCCGCTTCAGCGTGTTCAGCAGCTGCTGGATCTTGGTGGAGACCCTGCTGATGGGAACACCTGCACAGAAGTAGGAGCGGGGGGGAGGGGGGGGGGCACAGGGTCAGACACACATGAGGCTGAAAATGGTATGTTGCTATGGGTTCTCACAGCCCTGCATTCAACCCGGTTACCTTTTCTTGATAGAAAGGGAAAGATCAAAATGGTGGGGGGGGGGGGGTCAATCTGTTACTCAATTAGGCCATATGCCAAAAAACAGGGATTTTTGATATCAAGCATAAGACAACAACACATTCACTCAGTTACTCATCAGGACAAAAAATGGTGCAAGGAGTTTAGGTGGTAAACAACAAGAAAAGAGGCTTTCGGGGGCCTTAACATCACCACGAGGGGGATTATGGGATTATATGGCATACAGAGCTGGGGAGACAAAGAGCATGCTCAGTGAGGACTGGCATGGAGGTTAACAGAGCATGCTCAGTGAGGACTGGCATGGAGGTTAACAGAGCATGCTCAGTGAGGACTGGNAGAGCATGCTCAGTGAGGACTGGCATGGAGGTTAACAGAGCATGCTCAGTGAGGACTGGCATGGAGGTTAACAGAGCATGCTCAGTGAGGACTGGTCTCTACCATCTGCTGTGTCCATCATGCTGGAGCGGCTCTGCTCCCGACTCATGCCCCGCACGGGCATGTTGGGGGGCAGGTCTACTCTGGGGCCCCTGTCCTGTGCTGCAAAGGACGTCACATCAGGGGGGACAATGCTGCTCTCTGGAGGGAAAGCACAAAGGATGGGTTGAAATCCCAGGCAATAGAAACATGGCAATTGCAGACCAACTGGAGAAGCCTGAAACCCGCCCAGCATTTCACTTACTCCACTGATAAGTCCTAATTCACCTTTTAAAATTAACTAGAATTTCAGCTACGTATGGTTTTCCTCTGGGACGGCCTCTTCACTGAAAACCTCCTGATTGAGAACGAAACCCCCACCTTTGATTATTACTTGTAATACACTGCATTTTTACTGACACTCAGCAGTACATCTGTCCCAGATAACGCGAGATGAGCACTTTGCCCTCCACAGCTCTAGATGGCAGCACTGCTACAGGTGACCCCTTCCCACAGATGCTCACCTTACAGCAGTGACACAGACCATTAAGATACATCAATTTTCCTTCCCTCTTAACATTTAACACAGACAGATATTTTGAAATGGCAATGCTCACAAGTAACAAATACACGGACATCTGTTTTTTGTAAATTTTTGTAAATGCTTTTAAAAAATTCTTTTTGCAGTTTTTTTGAATGCTTCAGTGTTTCTCTATTGTAAGATCATTTGAACAAAGACTGTGTTGATTTAATTTACTTTGGAATTAAAGGACACAGAGTCGTAAAGCGTGCACAGGACCTAACAGACTCACCTGGGCGAGTATGAACCACAACGTCAGCCATGAGAGCTGGCTGTGGTTTTCCCTCACCATGTGACAACGTGGAGGAGGCAGAGGATGAGGTAGAGGATCCCTGTAGAGAGCGATTGATCCAGGAATCGGGGCTCTGCAGGTTCTGTCCCACAGCCCCGCCCACAGATGCCTGTTGGGGGGAGGAGCCCTCGTCCTCCGATGCCGATGAGGTGTCTGACGGGACGCAGACAGATGACGCGTTATTAACGCTACTTAGCAGGCGCCAAGGGGCTTCCTCTGAAGGGAAACGATGTCATGGTTACAGCGGCCGGTGCCGGATCTGGCCAATCGCCTCGTTTGTGAAATCTCTGTGGAATCTCTCCGGCTCTATTCCAGAGTGTTGTTACAGTCAGATCCTCCACCGGCGCTCTATCAAACGTGTCTATTCACAGCGAATGGGTAAGTCAGCAGGTCTGGCTCATGCTATTTATAGACGGATTTCATTTCCACACGTAGCTGAAAATGTAAATGTGACATCTGTACATTTCCAGGAAAGCTGTCAGTTAGATCTGAACACCCCAACAACTCCTGGATTCCACAAATTTACACACAAGTTAATCCATAATAAGAAGCTATAAACTGATAGTGAAATAAGCTCTCAGTCACTTCCGCTCTATCGACATGAGAGTTCATCTGCCTTACTTACAGCAAGCGGTAAGACACAAAATAACGAACGATCCGGAATTTCCCAAACGTCTCACACCGTTTGCTGAAGGTGGAGACCTTCAGCCCCAACCTTCATTCCTGACCGTGCTGATGGCCTGATGTTATCAGGAGCTGAATAACAGGCGTGTTAAAGACTGAACTGCACTATAACTGGGGTTAGGAAAAAGGCCAGAATGAAACATCCACCGGGATTCTATACGGATCCAAGGGCAACACGTGTTTCGCTGCTTTAATGAAATACTAATATTTAGAGGTTTTTATAAATGAATGACCAACATTTACAGGTAACAGTACAAAATCCATTTGGTTTTAAATATTTAAACAATTATTTAATAAGACCTCTTGTTGTGGGCGCAAATAAACTACAAAACACAGCAATGTACACACCCGCACACATACATATGCATCACCCTGTGGCATCCACTGGAGGGCGCCACACAGGCCTACCTGGAGGGGTACAGCTGCCTGCAGGAGACTGAACGTAGGTTGAGCGCCGCTTTGTGGGCATGGGGAGGGCCATCTTCTGCTCCCTGTGCTGGGCCAGTGCGGCCTGCACTGCCTCAGTATGCACGTCTGAGGGGGGCGGCGCATCGGGAAATGGGAGGGAGAGGAACAGGAGGGAAAGGAAGGGGAACGAGGATGATGGGCAACGAGAAGGTGGGAAGGGAGGATAAGGGAATGGGAAAGAAAGGAACACGGATAAAGTGTGTAGGAGAGAAGATGATGGGAATAGGGAATGAGAGAAAAGGAAAGAAAGGAATGGGAAAAAGGAGGATGGGAGCAAGGAAGGTGGGTGGGGGGGTGAGGGAACAGAAAAGAAAGGAATGGGGAAAAGGAGGGTGGGAGAGAGGAAGGTGGGTGGGGGGTGAGGAAACAGGAAAGAAAGGAATGGGAAGGAGGAGGATGGGAGAGAGGAAGGTGGTTGGGGGTGTGAGGGAACAGGAAAGAAAGGAATGGGAAAAAGGAGGCAGAAGAGAACAAAATGAAGAAGCAGAATAACAGGTGACTCAGAAATTCAATCACACTATCCATCTATCACTGCGTGCGTCCATCCATCCATCCATCCATCCATCAGTGCTTATCCAGTACAGGGTGGCCTCAGCAAGTCCACTATAGGCAGACATTAGAGAATGATATGCGAGTCACGCGGCTGCCTCACTGTCCCCAAGGAGGAGCGATAACATATCTGCTGCTCATTATCCTCACACGGCGGCGTTTAAAGGGAAAGGATCCGCCGGACAATCAGGTGGTACACAAGGCGGGCGGCAGCTACCGTCTGGCAGGGCTCCTCCCAGCAGTGCCTCATGCTCCGCGGACAAAGCCGTGCATGGGGGATCGCCGGGATCCTCATCGTCCGCCATGCCGCTCTTCTCGCTCTCAGTACCGGCAGCAGGGGCGTGCCGGCTGGCCCATCACAGGCCTGCTCTCCCTGGCGATACGCGGAGCTGTCAGCGCCCCTTGTCCATTCGCGACCGGCATGCACGCATGCTGCTCCCACACAATGGAGGAGGACCCTCCTCCTGCTCCTCCTGCGGCACGCCGGGGGCCGGGGTCACGATGCTCACGCAAAACGCTTAACGAGGAAGGAGGGGTGGGCTGGCGGCAGGCGGCCCCGTCCCGTGTCGATCCGCCACCCTTGAGAAGCGGGATGAATGACGCGGGGGTCGGGCAGACAGGGAGGAGACGGCAGGAGAGAGCTGGCTGCAGGAGACGCGTGAGCTGTCTGCACCTCGCCCAGGGAGGAGGGAGGAGGGAGGGAGGGGACTGAGCAGCCGCGCTCCTCTCCTCTTCACTCTGCCCCTCCCTCCCCCCTTCCTCCCCCACCTCCCCACGCTGGCTTTATTGTTCTCCGCCGGTATCTTCTCGCGGTGCCGTGTCCACAGGTCTCAGTTCAGCTCCCTGATCTATCTGTGCATCTGACTGCACGGTTTAACGAGCTGAGCTCAAAAACACATGGGTTACAGTGCAGGGATCTGTCGCCTAATGACCAGGGATGGTGATGATATGCAGACGCGACGACACAACAGGCACTACAATACTTATAATACTAACAACATGAACAATGTGCTAATATTGCTAAGAATACTCATACCAAGAACGCCAATGCCAACAGTGCTAAGAATACTCATACTAAAAATATAAACAATGCCAATACCAATAGTGCTAAGAATACTCACACTAATAATACTAACAATGCCAATAATAATAGTACTAATAATACTACCAATGGCAATACCAATTGCAATAATAATAATATCTTTGCTAAAAACCAACAGGGATTCAGTATATTCTCTGCTTGGACCCCTAATAATAGTAACAATGCAAATACCAATAGAACTAATAATACCAAGAATGTGAATACTAGTAGTACTAATAGTACTCATATTAATAATACTAGCAATGCACTAATAACACTACTAATAATGATTGATCTTCACATGACAATTTCCTCTCGTTATGACACTGGAAAATACAAAAATGAAACTTCTCAGCTTCAAACATAAAACACACAGGATGTGGATATTTGAATGCTTAAAAATATACATTTCACTCCATAATCCGGACCAGGACAAGTGTTTGGAAGATGGATGGGTGGACACACACACACACACATTGTAATCATATCTTTGTGGGGACCGCCCATTCATTTCTGTGGGAAAAACCATAATCCCAACATTGACACCCTTAACCCCACCAAGCCCTAACCTTAAGCATAAGTATCCAAACAAAATACAGCAAGACTTTTGGCTGAAAAAAAAATGGTCCACACAACTTCAAAACAAAAGATTTTAATCGAGATCCCCGCAATGTCATATATATACACACACACACACACACACACACACACACACACACACACACACACACAATACCAATCTAATGTCTGGACACATCTACTGAAAATCATTTGTTTTTCAAGACGATAATGAACCTAAACATACCCCAAGGTGATGTAGTAAGTCATCTTGTGAACAATGACAGAGACGGAGAGCTGTGACAGATGACCTGGAGCACATGATGCCCAGACCAAAACCCTTCAGAGCTGGTTTGGGATGAGTTGGATAGAAGAGTACGAGCGAGGTAGTCAACTTGTGTCCAGAATTTGTGGAAACTCCTTCAGGACTACTGGAGAAGCATTCCAGGTGGCTACATCTGGAAGCTGGTTGAAATAATGTCAAGAGTCTGCAATGCTGTCATCACAGCAAAAGGGGGTATTTTGAAGAATCTAAAATTTGAGAAAATTCTGAGATGTTGAGCACTTATCTTGATTGCTTCAATATTTGGTATGTGTTACTTCATTGCCTCAAGGTCTTTAAGCTGAACAGCATAGCTAAAACAGACACAAATGAAATGCATAAAAAGTGGGTGTGTCCAGACTTTTGGAGCATATTGTGCATATATAAACAAACATAGAATAACATGTTGATCCAGACCCAAGAGTTACATTTGTGGTCCTTCCTCTACATGTGTCATGAGTGTTGCGCGTGTCATGAGTGTCACGTGGTCTTTGAAGGATCCAGGTCTATCTCCAGCTTTGGTGTGCATGTATCATTAGGAGTTTTACTGCTCTGACAGTGGCCATACAGGCTCAGACCTTCATGTCACCACAGACTCCTGCGCTCACCTGATCTATAGCGGTCATCCCGGGCACCGCCGCTGCGATGAGATCGCCGACGGCGGGCGGACGCAGAACACAACGATGAAGAGGTTGGCTTCGGTGTTGCCGTAGGCTCTGGGGTCGGGTCCACATCCCTACTGGCTTCAGGCTGCTGCTGCTCAGGTGGTGGCCCAGGATGTGGTTCTGAAGAGGATTGCACAGCGCAAGAGACTCAAGCAAGGCCAGCCTCAGGCAGGGGCCATTTTCTTGTTTCTGGGGCCCCACTCAAAAAGCCACTTTGGGACACCACTGTCGCCCCTGAATTGTTTTAAAAACTAAATAAATTGCTAGTGAGTAGAGTGAGATGATCATTGCTAGCTGATTAGCAGGACATCCAGCTTCAGCATCTGCTACATTTTTTTTATATTTAGTGTAGTGACTGTTTGTGGCCAACAGGGGGCTGTGAGGACCCCACGCAAATGCGTGATGTGAGAGATGGTAAATGTCACCACTGGCCTCAGAGAATACCATCTCATGAGAACGGCCCAAAGAGATAAGCAAGCCATCAGTAACAAAACCAGTCTAACCTTAATCCACATTTTAGAGGAAAAATCCTACTGAGTATCTGGGTGGGGTTGAGTCTCACACTGATACAATGAATAAACACTGTAATCAGATGGGCAACGCAAAATAAGGGTGACAGTTTCACACAGTACAGCAGCGGCACTGAAAAACCAAGACGGCAGGCCTAAAAACAAGACATTTACCTGCGGGCCCCGTGGGGACCCTGTACTGTACCCTGGAGTAAAGCCACCCCAGTAAAATATCCAGCAGTATGAATGGGTTAAATGTTTCAAGTCATTTTGGATTAAGACTCAAATCATGCAGCTGACCCCTTCCTATATCACTTTCACCCACTAAGCTTCTCGAATCTCGAAAACTGCCTATTTTGGGTAGAAGAGGGAGACTTCTAATGGGCCGGTTCAATGGGTTCATAGCTTAGCGCAGGGGTGGCCAATCTTATCCGGCGTGTATGTGGGTTTTCGCTGCAACTCCCTAATTAGATTACTAATTAGAGGACTGATTGGCTGAAGAGTCCTCACACCTGGGTTTGAACAGCTGACTTACAGATTATCCCAAAAACCTGCATACACACCGGCCCTTTGCGGATAAGATTGGCCACCCCTGGCTTAGCGGGTTAAGGATCCGCATCGACATCTGAAAGGTCATAGGTCCTGTAGGCAGAGAGATGGCATCGCTGCTGGGCCCTTTAGTAAGGCCTTCAGAGGGGTGGGAGGCTGGCTCAGCCTGGGTTGTGACCAGAAAAACCTCTTTATACACGCCTGTCTTTCCTATGGCGGGTAAGAGTGAAAACTAGCTGCCTTCCCCATAAAGATGAATGTGTTGCAGTCCTGTTCTGTTGGGATCCACTATTGGGATCCACTCATTTGTCTGGCTCCAGCTGCTCACTGCTTCACCCCAACTTTCCTCCTGAGCTCTTTCCATCAGCTTTTGGCCCTCCTACAATCCCCCGCCCCCCCCATGTGAAATACTTTCTTTGACCCCAAGCTAGAGACACACTCCCCAAGAGCTGGGACTCCATAGGCTGGTGTGGGAAGGGGGTTTTGGTAAATTCCCACGAATTTGAGATGGGGGGGGGGGGGGGGTCACAACCACAGGACGGTGTGGGCATGAGCTGAGGGCCCAGGGGTATGAACCCACCCCCTTCCACAAACCAGAAAGTAAAACAGCCCTTCGCTGAAAACTTCATCGTTATAAAATATCTTTTTAAAAACATGGAAAATGGCTCATTTAAGCTGCTTAGAGCCACTTCCCATTTGACTGGTTTATAGAGCTTCCCAGTGTTTCGTGCCTGAAAGAGTAAATAAGCTGGGAATATCACTGCTGCAGCGAGAAAGATCAGACAAAAGGGAGACTAATGCAGGTGTTTGACACTAGGGAGCAGCAGTGAGCCATAACATCCCCCCCCACCCCCATCCCTCCAAGCATAACGTCAGAGGCTCTCAAAGCCAACCACAGGCAACAACACTTTCCCACACGAATGATCCATTTCTAATCTTAAACTTCTCTCTATCGACTTGAACATTTTCCAGATTTCCCGACAGCTCAGCTCCAGTTCTCTTCCTTTCTTCCTCATTTTGGCACAGCAGGTACGGCCTCAGCGTTTCCCCACCAGGGAACAGCGCAGTGTTGTGGGGGGGCTACTGGGGGCCGCTCACACCAGCCACACACTGGGAGTTTACCGAAGACCAAGCCGAATCACGGGTCTCATTCAGAGCTTCTTCGAAAGGACAAACCCTCCCCATGTGGCCCCGCCCCCCGCCCGCGGCCCCCCCCACCATCCTCCCCGATAACCTCCACAATGACACAGCCTTACGGAGGAGGACACGACGGGGGCGGGGGGTTACGGAGGAGGACACGACGGGGGCGGGGGGTTA